AGGTTGTACCTGATCCTATAGTTTGTGAGAAAATCACTTCCAATGTCATGTGCGATGATGAAGATGATGACATTTATCCAGCCTGTGCTGTTACTAGAGCGATGGCCAGAAGACGAGAAATGGAGGCAGACCATACTCAAGCCTTTGACGAGACGAATTCCTCTGTTGATATTCATTTGAATGACACTTTCTTATCTGACCTTGATGGCACTCAAACAAACATGGAACCACACAATATCAAGAAGTCGGTGACGAAGGAACCTTTATCAAAATTTAGTGGTAATGAAGATGAGTCAAATCTACCAGAAAGCCAAGGCAAGGACATCCTCAGCCGAGAACGTTTACTCTCTGAACAACATAAAGACCCAGATATCATTCAACTTAGTAAGAGGGCACTTCCACCAGAAGAGGCTACTAAAGTTGGAGAATGCTTCTATATGAAAGATGGCATCCTTATGCGAAAATGGCGACCACTGACGCTTCCCCAGATGAAGTGTGGCGTGTTGTTCACCAGATAGTGGTCCCAGCTGCTTATCGTCGAGATGTCATGAGTTTAGCTCACGATACACCTATGGCTGGTCATTTAGGTATCAATAAGACTTATAATAGGATTTTGAGTCATTTTTATTGGCCTAAACTAAGGAAGGATGTTTCTGAGTTTTGTAAGTCGTGTCATGTCTGTCAGATGGTAGGTAAACCGAATCAGAAGATACCATCCGCCCCTCTCCAACCAATTCCAGCTTTTTACAAATCTTTTACAAAAGAGGGTTAATTTTGAATGGACAAAGGACTGTGAAAAATCCTTTCATAAAATCAAATCTGTCCTTATGAGCAATCCAGTTCTGTCAACTCCAGATTTTTCTAAGCAGTTCAAGCTTACTGTTGATGCTAGTGATGTTGGAATCGGGGCAGCTTTGTTTCAAGAACATAGTGATAAGGTAGATAGAGTTGTTTCTTATTTTTCAAAGAAACTTACAAAATGTCAACAAAAGTATTCCACTATTGAAAAGGAATGCCTTGCTTTGTTGTTAGCCTTACAGCATTTTGATGTTTATCTGAATGTTACTTTGCATCCAATTCTTGTATATACGGATCACAACCCCCTGACATTTTTGCAAATTGTCAAACAAGAATCAAAGACTGACTAGATGGAGTTTGTTGTTACAAGAATACAACATAACAATTAAGCATATCAAAGGCAAAGACAATGTTATTGCAGATGCCTTGTCTCGTGAACATATATGATTTTGTATTTATGTACATATATTTCATTTTGACAATATAAGTTTTCATTGACATTCAAACTTTTAAGGGGGGAGGTGTTGTGAGGTGTGTATTGTTTCATCATGTATATTATTAGTAACATTAAGTTTCTTGAACATTCCAGAGTGGTCAATATGTTTGGTCATTTTATCTAGAACATTCTTGAACTTTATTCATGTCCAGAACTTTCCAGTAATATCATGTACTTACAACTTCTAGAATATTCTAGATTTATATTACTGTATAAATACCCTGTCAATTCGATGCATAGATAGACTCTTGTCGTATAAGCATCATTGAGGTATTACTGGGATATAATTTCACTGGGACATTGTGTGCAGCAACGGACACTCTGATGTATGTATTTTTAGATTTTTGCTAAGTTTGTACTTAATGATTTGTATATTACTGTAAATAAATTATTGTTAAGTTTAAACTGTGTGATTGATCTTTGCTGGCATTTAGGGTTATTCTGACCCATAACAATGTACTGATAGGTAATACTTTTTAGAATGAAGAAAGTTTTACTACTGTTCAGAACTGTTTTCTCTCGTTCCAAGCACAGCAACAAATTAAGGCGTTAAGCATAGCTAGGAACTGTTCCTTCACTAAAAGTTCTGTATCAGAAGTGAACATGACGTTAACGTAATTGATTGATTTGTATGTTATTTTACATCCCATTCGAGAATTTTTTCAATCGTGTAAATTGTCTTTTGGACTTAATTTACTTTTCAAAGTAGGCTGTGTCGACACGATAAAGAACATTCACTTTTACGACCGGAAGAGCTTAGATCTTCTCTACTAATCAGTATTTCGCTTCTAATTGATACATTATTGCAGGGCACTGTACATCTAATTAACTTGAAAATTATTGTGACAACTATCTAAAGAACATCTTGTTGTTTGTAGCACCCAACATGCTTTTGTTATTAATTAAATTCAATTATTAAAACGTATACCACTTTATCATATATTTTTCACACAATTAAGATTCCATGCTATATTGGTAAGTAAATTAAGGCAAGCGTGCAATTGTCGTCAAATTTCAATAGAAGGGGTTAAAAGGAACAAAATTATCTTCATTTACTTTATGTTATTTTCCCCCATAGTTAATGTACAAAGCATATCTATACTGCATTAGAAAAATGTAACTTACTTATAGCGTCATTTGTCTTCACAGTTTACTGTGTCTAGTGCGGTTTGAAAAGGCGGAACAAAGTTACATGTGTGACCTTTTTGATGGTACATTTAGGGAATAACTATCTTCTAATTTGGTATTTGCGACCGTTAATGCTGATTTAACGGTCGCAAACTGAGTTTTACCGGCGACGCGTAAGCGGAGCCTGTAAAACGGATGTTTGCGACCGTTAAATCAGCATTAACGGTCGCAAATACCAAATAAGAAGATTAGTTATTCCCATTGTAATGCAATCCATGTATTTTGTTTGTTGTTTACGTCTTATTTTGTTGAATTTTGTTACATGAAATACGTCACGAAGCATGGTGTTTTTGCATCACTCTATTATGACGTCACAATGAAAAAGCTTTCACGTAATTTTACTGCTTCAAACATTAGTGCATTAGCCAATCAAAACGTGTTGTACAAAACAATTGCATTAGAATTATATTTCTACTCGCCCAAATAGTCTTATCAAACGTAGTATATGCTAATCACATGTTAATCACACGCTTAAGTTTTAATGTCAATGCACTTCAATGATACTGCATGATGTCAATAACTGCAAAAGGCTGAAAACATGGTTTTCTAAAATTAATCGTTGAAGACCGGCATTAATGCACGAGAAGATATTGATGAATTCCGTTTTGGAGGAATATTGGAAACAGAATTGATAAAAGGATAATTATTTTTAAAATCTTCAACTCATTTATTATTTTTTTGAGGGTTTCGAAATCAAAATTTCAATTTGATTGGCAGATTCTATTACAATCTTACAATCAATGGATGAATTTTGCTTTAGTTCATTCACTTTTGGCAGCTAAAGTAATTCTGCATACATGTACCTTGTTCCCATCTTCTTTCATTGCAAGAGCTCATAAGTTTTACAAATATAGTCAAGAAATGTTATGCATCCACTCTCGGCCAGTAACACCAGCTGTTGCCCCTTGTAATGATCGGGGGGAAAACGGGAAAATTCGTCGTCATTTCAGCGTGTAAACTAGAGGTATTGTGAGCAATGAGATCACTAAATGATACCCCTGCCTCCAATATGAATATAATGGCAGTGTCCATATTTTGCTATGGGAAACCCAAGATATGTGTCGGATCAAAAAGAAAAATAGGAGGTGCACAATGCCAACATGTAATAAAGATTCTGTGAAAGTTTCATCAAATTTCTTTCAGCGGTATGAGAGGGAGTTGCGGATGAGAAGTTGGTACCCCAAAGCGTAACAGACAGACGGACGGGCATACCGATTACTATACACCCTAACGCTTTTCAAGCGGGGGGTATAATGATGTTCCAATAAGTATGAAAAACGTCAGACAGGTCAGCATTTGACATGATAGGTTGTATTTGCTGACAAGGTCATTGTTTCGACCATAGGACTTCCGAAATGATGACTTTAAACGAGGGTCTTGATATTCTTGTTTCATGAACTGAAATGTATGTCGATAGCTTACCTATATTTTTCACTTGAACATGCTCTGTGTCTCCGTAAGGATAATTATGAAATTTAAAAACCCTGTTTTGAAAAAAAAAAAATTCAAATTCATTTTGATTCATAGAAGTTTAAATTGACATATGATTTTGAAGTTTTTCCTCCCTATAAAAGGGATACAGTAACTGTTCCTTTGTTGATTTTTTATGGCCATTCCCTTGCTTGTATTTTTAAATAATGTCATATTTCTCGAAATCTTATCTCACTTTTAAAACTAACAAAAGGATGTTTTTGGTCTGTAGAAATTAAAACTGTTCTGAAAAGGTGTCCTAAACGTCTGGTTACTGCAGTATCATTTCCTGTGTTATGGAATGAGATTTAACCAATTGACAGACTCCCCCGATCTCTGAAAGTCTGGCTCTACGGTGAGACTTCCTTCGAAATTCTCACACTAGAATGGGAATTTTGTCCAGGGGGAATTTGGACACCAGAGATCGAGGGACACCCCGGGGGAATTCCAGTGTGGATTCCCTGCAGAAATCCCTCGTACAAGTTATAGAGACTACCTCTATAGCTGGTCTCTTCCTTCTTCATATTTTGATATTTTACACAACTGGACGTAAGCAAGAAACATTTAATTTTACGGTCAACGGCCTACTTTGACATTTAAACCGGCGTTATGCACGGAGGTATGGACTTGACAATACATAAGAAATCCTTGAGAGTGGTCATTTGCAAGATGTTTGGGACACTTAAATTACCGGTAAACAATCATCGCAAGGGATGGCGGGAGGCAGAATACTGTAACTTGGAAGTGAGGCCTTAAGTAGATTTACTTTCTTTTAATTCTGTTGGGGAAAGTATTGCCCGTAAAAGATGTACAGCTCTAGAGTTATATTTTACTGCATGACGAAGGCTCACTCTCTGGGAAAAATTTGCCATGGGAAAATTTTCGCTCTACAACACCGTCATCGCTTTAAGTATGTGTATATAATGTATATTTCAGTGTCTTGATAAGCTGATATCTTAAACATTTACGTGTACATTTTTTACCATTTAAAAGACACACCCTTCTTCTATCAAAGCCAATCATAATAAGCATCTCATTGACACTTGGTTAATGCTTCTGTTATATAAGTAAATAAGTCTCTAAGAGGTGACACAAACAACACTGAAGATGAAAATGAATTATTGTTTTATCTTATTTACATTGTTGGTTTCCCTACATTTGGGAAATGCTTCACAAAACGCACCTGTCCACGTAATAAGAATCCTCCAAGGTAAGCATAATACATTGAAGTTTTACAAAAGATATTTTTATGTACTAGACTAAGTATTCCTATTATTTCGTAGTCTCATATAGATCTAAATTGTATCTTTACGACAATTTTTTGATGTTCTCAATATTTCCTAAAACAGATTATGTTTTTTTTTTCAGACTGTGGATGTCCTCATAATTGTTTGAGTTATTTGAGGGTTTGTCTTATAGCCGGAGCATGCCGACGATGTAAAACACCCAACTATGGAAAAAGAAGGTAAAAATGTATTCATTAAAAAAAAAAAAAGGATAAATGAAAATTAAGTATGCATATTATGTTTTTATTGATATAATCCAGTACAATAATTTTGCACATACAAGCGTAAGTTACATGAATTAGTTTTTCATTGTTTACCCATTGAATTTTTTTTTTACAGTTATCCTACTAAACAACGACATAAATTTACCACAAGACCATCGAAAGAAGTTTTAATACAATCAACACCTCTTAATAATTAATATATTTAATTCAACTTGTTGTGAAACGTGTTCACAGAATTAAAATAAAACCACTTGTATGATGTAAATATTGATATCACTGTAAATATAAATCCATGCATAATTTAAATTATATAATGTAAAGTGTACATGATAAATTGATATACATGTATGTCATGTAAGTGTATTGCATTTACATGTATTTTGCTTTCTTTCAACTTTTTTCTAATATCTCATATAATAAAACCTTATAAAAACTTATGTCTACTGTTATTATTCTGATTATACGAGGGTGGTTTAAATAGTTATGTCAATGTAACTGTTGTAAAATCTTCAGTAATCAACCGTTTTCAAGAAAATTTGCTATACATATACCACATCATAATTTCTATTTAAAAGATTAATTCTATTATACAAAATTATCAAAAACGTTGAGATAAAACTAACGTTAATTTATGTCTATCGCCGAACATTAAGCAGATTACAGACGTGGTTAACACTTACGTTTCGTCTCTCATTTATTGTTTATCCACAAATCTTTTTAACCTCTCTCACATTCTTCGATTTTAAAAAAGTTATTTTGCTTTTATTGTCTTTTTTTTAAAGACGTTGTAGTATTCAAATTATCTGAACTTTTCAATTTTTTTTTTCTAAAATCATTCTTTTTTGCACATCAGAATCAATTTAAGTATTCAATAAATAGAAACGCCACATAAGAAAACTATATATTCTTGCCGTGCAGAGATAGACGAGACCCAAAATTGTGTTTATTCTAAAATTTATGAAACATTCCATTTACCAAATGAATCTTTAGGCCAAATGTCAAAATAGATTGAGGTATTAGTAAATTAGTTTTTGTGGAAAGCTTTCGATTCTTTAAGATTTTTTCTTTGGATCTATATTCTTGAAATTTTATGGACAACATTTTTACTCTAAATGATCACATCTGTTTTATTATAAACCGAATATCTTTCATAAATAAAATGTACTCAAGTAGATTTGTTAATCTAGGAATAAAAAATGGAAGTTCGTTTTCAATTTTAAAATTGAAATTGAAAATTATTTACATAAAATTAAAGCTAAACCGAACGAAAACACTATTATGGGGAATTTAGAACCTAAAATAAAACAATAAACAATTAAATGGAAACTTATTTAGAGTTTATATTCCCCTGATGATTACGTAAACAATCAAGGTCTAAAGCCTTCAGTTTTAATGTCACTGAATACCAATGTTCTTCTATCTGCTTGTACATACACAATTAATCTTTACTATTTCAGGAATGAAATGATTCAAAGTACATGTACAATGGGTATTTTCCGTTAATTGACTTTTAAAGACCTTATTCTGAAACTTATTGATTCATCATTTTATGGCCTTTCACTGATAAAATACTAGTTAAGTCCCTTGTTTCCTCACAAGTTTCAGCATTTGAATACTGTTATGTGTAAATACCCAGAATTCTTGGCAATTTAAAGCTTGGCAATATTCCACTTAAAAATGAAGACTTCAAATTATTTTTTTCTCAGCAGTTGAGAAGATTAGGCATCCTTAAATACATCATGTATATAAAAAATACGCTAAATATCGATTCCCATACATACCTAAAGTATGACATATGTATCGATAACGAACAGTAGTCAAGCTCAAAAGCCCGTTAAACAAATCAGGATCAGATCAAAACACGAACCTGTAAAACATCAGAGGTGGGATCAGGTGCCATGAAGGAATGAGCGTCCCCAGCCGACCGGTCACATCCGCCGTGTGCTCGTTGTCTTTATCTGGAAATAACGGTAATATCTGTCGACAATTCAGTGTGTACCGGTAAATCATGGCCTGTCAATTAGTATGAAAAACGTCAGTGAGCAGTTGACTTAAAAATAGATTGTATTTGCTCCAATCCTAATCTTAAAAAAACCCAGAAATTTTAGTTGTCCATGTTTGCTTGGAATTCTATCAGACAATGAAACCTGAATCCATTACTTTGAAACCAAAAGAAAATTACAACAAAATGCATGTGACCAAAACAGCAAAGGTCTAAGAAGAGCAAATTAATAATTGCAAGAGCACAACGAAAGTTTTATATGCCATTTCATCAATTATAGTAGTGGTCTTGTTGTTCAGATTCTTATTTGGGAAGGTCGCTCAGTTTCTGGACGAGTCTAGAAAGCAGCAAAAAATTGAAAGGTTAATGCAAGGAAGTAACCAGAATCGGGAATATTCTACATTGATTTTCTTCAGGACAGCGTCCAAGCCCACATGTCCTGAACAGTAAAAGACTTTTGGGGATAAAAAAAGTTATGTTTTGTCACACCAACAATATTCGCCAGATCTTGCACCTTCGACTTGTTTCGTTTTCCAAGTTGGAAAAAAATACATTTCAGAAGCAAGAAACAAGACCAGAAAATCAGAGGATAAAAAAGATCATTCACTTTAACCATGTCTCAGGATATTAAGGAAGTATCTGCTTGTTTTCAGTAATATTCTGTTTAGTAAAGATTGTCTAACTTCCTAACTAGACTTTGTATTTACGTTTATTTTTTGCTTATTAAATAGTCTTCGAATAATAATAATTAAATTAAAAAAAAAACATATAAGTATCAAAAAATCGCTTGCTGTGGAGGTCTGATATCCGAAATATACTGATGAAATACATGGCGATAACGAACGGTATTCAAGCTCAGATGTCCAATTAATAAACAATACAAAATAGGAGCAGAGCAAACCGAAAACCTCCGAAACATCAGAGGTGAGATCAGGTGCCATGGAGGAGCGAGCATCCCCTGCCATCCAGTCACATCCGTCGTGTGCTTCTTGCCATGATCGGGAATATAAGGGAAAAATCCGTCGTCAATTCAGTTTGTAAATAATGGACTAACAAATAGTATGAAAAAAGTCAGGCAGCATTTGACTCAATGATAAACTGTATTTGCTGACAAGGTCATTGTATCGATCAAAAACTTACGAAATGATGACGTTAAACGAGACTTCTGATATTCTTGTTTCATCAACTTGTTTGTCAATAATTTACCTCGTTTTAGAAATTGTTCATACGTAGAATATGCTCTTGCGTATCAAATTAACTGAGAAATATAAACTCCGTATGCAGGTAATGAAGGTATATTGCTTCATAAGTAAAGGAAGTTGACGATTGAAAAGTTCAAGTCATCACGTTTATCACAAAGCTTGGTTGTTAGATTACCATTAATGTCTTTTTCAAGTAAAATCTCCAAACATGAAACAGATATATAAGACTCTTATCTTTAAAATAGCAGAATAAATATCATTTAGATTTCCAACAATTTTGAGAAAAGATGACAATATCAAAACCAAACCAAAGGACGTTGTATGTAAAAGTTTTTTAAAATGTGTTAAAATCAATTAAATCGTACTGTAATTATCTATATTAAAACAGAATTATTATAATGACACACAGATTTTGCGAAGTTTGGATAAATATGTAGACTTAATATTTCCGAAATTAAAGAAAAGAGTTAGCAAAATTGGTTTAATAGGTGTACGGTTTATTTTTTCAGTTGAAACGCAAAATACACGCTTCTGATTCGTTGGCTTTTCCATCGAAATGATTGTAAAGTCGGAAACGCGAAGGAGTTCAGGGTTGACGTGGATATTGAAGCATCCGTCCAACAAAACTGCAAACAAATGCACCAAACGAACAACAACCTATGAACAATAATGCATTCGTCGCCCACGTAGCACAGTGGTTAAAGCATCTGCTCTATAGTCGCATCGCGAAGGAAGGAGTTGATCCTTACGTTGCGGGTTTAAATCCCACTGTAGGACGTGGAGACCGGCCCTTCGGATTAGACCGTATAAACAGAGGTCCCGTGTCTCAGTAGGTGCTGGCATGAAAAAAAATCCCACATTTCTCTTTGGCCGTAAGTGCCGAGCATAGGACAAAATTTGCAGCGCTCCATCGGCAAGTTGTGGCGTCTCCATATGAGTTAAAAAAAATCTCGAGAAGGACGTTCAACAACATTCAATCGAACCGAACAATAACGCAAAAATGACTACCGGTAGCAAGATTTAGTCATAAACTTTATAACTAAATGTGTTTGTCCACATTAAATGAACTCTCTTTTACAGGTCCGATGTTGAGATAAAAAATCCCCTACATATTGTTTTCCTCCCATTAAATTTTGATGGGATCTAAGGCGGGATAAAAAATCCGTCCATTCTTCCAAGGAACGTAGATCAGGGAAAAGTTTAAAAGAAAAAAACTACAGTAATAAACTGTCCAAGTTACGGATGACATTAAGTGATCATAAAGAAAATTCCCACTTATGGTACAACTTGTACTTCGAATCTGTACATATGATGCTCTCAGTGACGATTTTACTTAAATTACAACTTACTTATAATAGTCCTTTGATACATAAATTTATTCCCAACCTATAAGGTTTAATTACATACTCTTATTTCTATGAATATTCACATCAAAAACTTTATTTCTATATAAAGGTATTGTTAATCAACTTGTTTTTCTTTTACCATCAGCTTGCCTTATATTACATTTTGAAAAAAAGTCATCAAGAAATAGCTAATATAAGAGTAACATAACAGATTGGGGGAGAAGGATATACACATTTCGTTTTTTAATTAGTAATCATATCTCATTTCTTTTGTATCACTTTAATCAAGCTTACATTGAAAATGTCAGTCTGACGTTTTATAATAAAAAAAAAATTAGTGATTGCTTGTTGTAAGTTTCATTAAAAAATGCCAGTAACTTAGATCCTTCGACCGTAAGACCACCTTTTTCTTCTATGTTTGCTTTATCATGGCTGTTTATCAAATATCAAAGAAGATTTTTCATTAAATTGACGATAATTAGAGTGAATTTTAATTAGAATGAAATTTAAATACAGATCTAAATTATTGTCTCATACCCGGAAAAAGCATGAACGCTAGTGCAGGCGTTTCGTAATTAAATTTGTAAAATTTATCAAATTATAGGTATAGATATTGAATTATATAATCGAAAAACAACTTCATGAGATATAAATTTTAAGTTGTTGACTTCATATAGGGAAGTATGCCCGCTTGAGGTCTTTGTGCGATAAAGACGACCAACTTCGGTCGTGAGATCTCTCGGGTAAACAAAAATCCATGATATTCAGGCAATAACTTAAAAGTACACATTTTATGCATTATCTTTTAAAAAGAAAATGTTGAACGGTATTTCCTGGATTTTGGTGACAAACATCCTTACACCTTTTTTGATTGTCGACATACGTATAATAATATTTGTGACGTTGATACAGAGTATGTGACGTCACCTACAGAAATCATAGCTGTAGATCTGTAGCGTTATGGTTTTATATAATATTATTACTACAGACCCCGTAATGCCAAGATTTTTGGACAATTTTCAAAAACCGGGTATTCCGAACAATGTCAACGTCAATTCTAAAAGCAGGAGAGTATTTTTGTTTAAGATACACAGACAAATATATAAAACCATAACGCTACAGATCTGAAGCTACAAAAATCACTCCCGCACAATTTTCAAAAACAGGGTATTCCGAACAATGTCAACCTCAATTCTAAAAGCAGTAAGTATACATGCGGTAGATTTTTTCCCGTTTTTTAAGAAACTGAAAAATACAAATTATATTATACATTTTCAAGCAACATTATTTCTGATACCTGTATTGTCTTTATATATTTTACTTGTATGGGTTGCTACGATTCCATCTAAATTAAGGCTACACGAGGCTAATTTGTATATTTTATTGATAAATTTATAAGCAGGTGTCTCTACTTGCAAATGTTTGTTTTTCGCGTCTGAGGCATCGGTTTAATACAAATTACAAACTGCTAAATAAACACTGTATTCAGATTTAACACATACACACATACATGTATACACAGATCCCAACACACACACATACACACCCTCACACACCATCTCACACACACACCCTCACACCCTCTCCTCACACACACTTAATCAAAGCAGAAGTTTTTAAAGAAATGGTGATCTTATAATGAAATTGATAACAAGCTTTTCGAAAAGCTTAATTGTTATCCGTTTCATTATAAGATCTCCATTTCTTTGAATCAGCCAAACAGAACCACACTATCGTCCTCTTTTTGTAGTTTTTTTCGACGATACTGCGGTTGTTTTTTTTCACGAACAAATCCTATTTTCTTCTTTCTACCAAGATCTTTATTCTTTGCTTTTTTTATTACTTGTTTTTACTTTTACTTCCATAAGCCAAGTAAAACCTTCCACGGAATGGTGAATTACTGTGTTTACCCATGCTGCATCGGTAAGTCACACCATTCTTCAAAAGTGTCTTAGCTTTATGTAAATCCATTGTATGAACTTTGGATATAACGAACAGAAATCAAGCTCAAAAGTCAATTAAAGTAAAACTTATCAGAAACTGAGCATAAACAGACTTCTAAGGCATCAGAGGTGGGATCAGGTGCCATCGAGGAATGAGCAATCCCTGTTTACCCGTCATACCCGCCGTGTGCTCCTTGTCATGATTGAGTAAATGACAAAATCCGTGCACAATTTAGTGTGTAACATATAATGGCTTAGTAACAATTAGTATAAAAACGTCAGTAATATTCAATAGAATGATAGATTGTATTTGTACCAAAGGTCAATGTAACGACCATAGAATTTGCGAATTTTAAACAGTTAAAAACAATGAGCATAGTAATGTTTCATCAATTGGTTCCTCAATAGCTTATTTTTTTCAGAAATTGTATATAATATAGAATTTGCGATACGTTATTTTAAACAAAAACAATCTTCAAAATATTGCACGTACAATTTTAATCTGAATTTTCTAGATTATTTTCTTTTAAAATTTTTCATTAATATACAATAAAATTGCCTCTTTTCTTCAGTATTAATTATATGAATAGAATTATAATTTGTGAAAGTGCAGGGGCGTGTCAATAACTTCGAGGTGAAATAAGATTTTTATTATAAATTAATAAGTCGTAATATTATACAGCAAAGAGAAAATATTAACTTCAAAATTTGTGTCTAAGCACCTTTACTAACTTGTTTGTCAATAACTTGCCTCGCTTTACAAATACATGTACATGTAGTTCGTAATTCGAGAATGGTATAGAGTATATAGTGTGAAAAGTATATTTATCAAAATTTTGTTTATGCCTTTCATATACGAGGGTCATTTTAAAAGTTCTTTTGTAATGACTTCATTTAACGTCATATTATAACCAAATTTTGGGTACATATATTTTAACAACAGATTCCAATAATTTGAGTGATAATTTTGAATATACGAGGGGTGATCCAAAAGTTCGTGGAATTTTTTCATATTTTATTTATTTTTAGGTGGAATTGGTTGAAAATTACATTACGTATTTGAATATTTATCAAAATTATCAAAGATGTATCACAGAAAAAGTGGGGTCGCGGAGCAGGGTCCGCAAAGGTTTTCGACGTAACATTAATGTTAACCCTACTCCGAAGTGACAAAACATGTTGTTTTTAAAATTGGCTAATATGAGTTCCATGTCATCAAATGACAGGAAACTTCATATACATTTATGGCTAAAATGAATGATTTTACAAATGAAAATGTTTTGATCTTTAAATTTGTAAAGATAATAAAATGAGAAACACTGTCTAGGTATTTTTTGAATGACTCCGTATTGTTATCTGAGGCTATTTCGTAAAGCACTTGTATGTTATATAATGCATAGTCTCAGGGTTTAGAGATCTGACAGTGTTTAGTTATAGTTACAGAGAGATCACGTGATCACTATTATTGGTGGATGCTCAAGTGCAAGTGTTATTGTCATATTGTTTGTTGGCCTATTATTTTTAGCACTTTATTTTTTTTCAACAGAAGTGTTTGATAACATTTTGGTTTTTGGTTGGCCTATTGTTTGTTGCCACTTTATTTTTCAACAGAATAGTTTGTCAAATTATATATTTTGATCACTATCATTCTGTACCTCGACCTCAGCATTGGAAAATGCAAATCCAAATCCAGAACCAATTTGCAGTAATAATTGTTACGAATACAGCCATTCCCAATTCATTAAATGACTTCTAATTATTGAAATTTCAGCCAAATATTAAAATTTACTTTGAACTTTTTTATTTAAAGAGATCTAATAATTCAATATTATGGAATGAAACATATGGATATAACGAACAGTATTCAAGATCAAAAGTCCATAAAATACAAAATGGGAGCGGAGCAAACACGGACTTCCAAAACATCAGAGGTGAGATCAGGTGCCATGGAGGAGTGAGCATCCCCTGCCGACCGGTCACAACCGCCGTGTGCTCCTTGTCATGATCGAGATATGACGGGAAATCCGTCGTCAATAATAATTATATAAATCGGAAATAACATATTTTATGCATCTGATGTACATGTATCTTTGCATGTGTCTGATTAGAAACTTTCTGTATATTATTAAAAGTGTGTAGGCTCCGTAAACTACTTGGATGTTATGTAATGAATTGTCTCAGGGTTAAGTGATCTTGTGGTGTTTAGCTGTTGGTTACAGAGCGATCACGTGATCACTATCATAGCTGCAAGTGTCTGTGCACGCTGTTATTTGTAAAGGAAAACATACAGGATTTGGAACCACCAAAACTGAAACGTACAGAATTGCTGGAATTGGTGTATCGGTTACAATTATTAAATAAATGCAAGTTTATAATAAACATGATTGAAAATAAAAATGATCCTACATTAAAACAATTGATCATACAAATTATGAACAGCATGAACGATTTTTTCTCCAATGTATATGACAAGAATTTTTCAATAAAAATTCAAAAATAGGTAATATGATATATAAATAGAGGTCTTAAATAGTTCCCAGTGCAAAAATGAGAAAAACTTCAAAAATTACAAAGAAAATTCAGACTGAAATAAAATAGCAATACTGCATGGTTTAAATAGTGATTACAAAAACGTCATTGAATTTCGTGTTATTTCTAGATCGTGATGCTGGATTTGACAGTAGATATAACAATGGGGTCTCTGAGTTTTTTCTTCTGTCGCCTCGGAATATCCTCCAGAATGAAACCTATTATATCATCCAGGTTGTGCCTGTGAAAAACAAAAGAAGTAGAGCAAGGACTCACTTCTCTGAAAAATGTGAGTGCTTAAGAGATTAAAACAACATGAGATTGATTTCTTTTGAAAGTGTGAGCGCGTGTAAGATTAGTTAAAATTATAGGTGTATGGCTCAGATTGTTGCTTTACTTTTATAAAAATCAAATTCAAAAAGCCTTACATGTGGAAAAAAAAGTTCTGCGGACTTTTTTTTCTATTTTTTAAATTTTTTTTGTAGTTTTAAACATTTTTGTTATCACGAGACCTCGTTATTTTGTATCTTGTTAATCTTACTTCAAGTATCTGTTCCTGATATTCTTTATCACAGAATTCATAAACCAGCCGTCCGTCCCCTTGGCTGTTCCGGTCAATGATTCGCTGTACACAATGCAGAAGTTACTGTCCCTGGGTTCTAGGCTTGTTCTGTTTCTATCTGATTACGTTAACAATATTAAAGATTGAACAAGAGATTAATTTTCTAAAAAGCATTTATGAGAAATATAATTGTAAAGTAAAACGTGTTTTGTGTTTTGGTGTCAATAGACTTGACAAAATTTATTAAAGAAAAAGGCCTGGTTATAAATGGCGTTTTAAGAAAATAACTGATCACTTATGCCTAAAATGTTCCACAGCTTACAGAGAATTGTCCTTAAATATTTATGATTATATTTCTTTTTAAATCAACCTAACATTATATTTGATATACCTGTATTTGTAATATACATTTTTACCTTTTTTTGTTTTAACATCCATAACGATCGGTGGATCCCAAACGTGTTCGTCTGAGACTGTGAGAATTGTTAGCTTGTACTGTGTCCCGGTCCACAGATCTGAGAACTTACAGCTATACTTGTGAACCGGGTCATTCTTTTTGGACTGAATTACAGATCCATTAGTTATGAGAAGGCCCTCATATCGTAACGAAAGTCTGTATGTTATTGTAGATTTTGAATTTGGAAGCACGGCATCGTTCCATAATATTGATATCGATGTAGTGTCCGATTTTATTTCTAAATCCACTGGACCTAAATTTGATAAGTATCAAAAATTGTACACAAATTCATTTCAAGACAATTTTGCCTTGTAAATGAAGCAGAAATATCTAGATTCTTTATTCTTTTATTAGAGATAGTTAAACAAGAAAAAAATTGGAATATCCACGTAACAGAAGTCTTTATGAAATTGAAAACACCTCAATGAGCTTTAGTGCCGTTTTAAAATTCTGAGATATCTAAGAGTGGTATTTGATCCTAATTGAGAAAAAGAGTAAAGCTAATCTCTATTCCTTAATTTGATTCACTTACCAACTTTTGGAGTTCGGCACTGAATAAAATCCGTCGGGTCGCCTTTTTCTTTGTTTTTTTCAGCAAAAACTCGTACTTTGTACAACACATCTGGTTCCATTTCCGTTAGCTTACATTCATACTTAAGTGATATTTGTTTGACAGGAACTTCCACGAAGTCAATGATAAATTTCGATCTATATTCCACTAAGTAATGGGATATTCCATGATATTCTTGGAGCGGTGGCTCCCAGGAAACAACAATTTCAAATGATTGCACCTTTTCAAACCTCAGGTTTTGTGGCTGCACTGAAATTGAATAAAATAAGATGCATGTCTTACGTAACAAAGTAAATTATATTGAAATAAAAGAAGATGTAAATGGAAAACTTCATCGTTTAGATGCACTCTACTGCATTTTCTAACATATGAAAAAAGATTATTGTGTAAGTAGAAAATTCACTGGTTGTAGTTACAGATGTTGAAAATTTTAAATCAGAATCATATTATAATTTTTTCCCAACCAAAATAATAAGTGCACATGTAAGAAAGTGATAAAACACTGGTAACAATACTTACATTTGGCCCTTGTTCTAATTTCGACTTCTGGGAGATAAACCACCGATCCGATATATATTCCTATGAGGTAGGCAGTATTGCTACTGAGGTAGTCAATCATATGTGTCTGTTGGTTCCCGGGCACGGTATCTAGCTCTTCGGAAATTTCGTCTCCTCCAGTTTTCTTCCTGCATTTAGCTGTAAATCTTTGATCCTGTACTTCGTCATCCAACCACCAGGATATGGTCACAGAATGAGGAGATGATGCCACCGTCTGAATTTCCCTTCTTTCTTCTGTAAGTTTTATCAAAAAACATTATTTTAGTCTTTTTGAAATTTTTTTCAATATATGAAGGTATCTGATCCTAAGGTAGTACTTTCTTGTTACTGAGAACAAGCTCTATAGTTAAGAAAAATCAGTAATCTTTTTTTTAATCAAATATTCTGAAAAAAATTAATTTGAAATAAAAGAAGGACTGCAAAGTCCCAGATTTTTGTCTTTTTTTTGAAGAGCAAAGCATAATCAACTTGCATTGAAAGCTACCTGTTTTAGAAGGTGATATTGCTCTTTAAAGGATTCGATTTTAAATCAAATGACTTGTAAACCGTAATATCCATACAATCTGCATTGATTTTAACATATCTACGAGGGTTGATCCAAAAGTAATATCACAGTGTATATATATATATTTTTATATTTGGTGCCATATTACCAAATGTATTTAAATAAGGTATAATTTTTTGAGTTTTATTGGGATGTAAAACAGGTTGGTCACGTAATCAAATCCTATAAAGCCCGAAAAAATGATACCTTATTACTTATATTTACATTTGTGATTGATTTATTACAAATAATAAGATACTAAAGTTTTAAATCGATCCATAAAGGATTGTTTCGAATTTCAACGGTACCGGTATAAATTGAATGTGTTGAACAAGTGGATCACTTATGACGTCACTATGAAATTACGTAGATCGCTTATGACTAAACAATCAATTTATGGTCACATGACGAACGTGTTTTACAGAGAAATAAAAACATCTTGTTCCAATAGTGTTATATAAAGGCAAACATTTGCTAATGTAAATATGTTTGAACGCACATTGTATATAAACTGATATTTTGGAAAGATAAAATCATGTAAATTTGAATTTTTTTTATATCTGATTAGAAATAAATATGCGGTATAGCTTTTATCATATAAAATTTTGTTTTTTTTTATGTCGACTTTTATCAATTTTATTTAAGTTGTGACATTACTTTTGGATCAACCCTCGTAGATAAAGAACTTGTTATATTTAGTTGTGTAGAGTATTTTCATTTTAATATAATGTTTGTTTGTTCATGAATCATGGATCATTTCAATGCTTTTCTTGTAAAGATTTAATCTTAGGTTATATAACTAATATGAAAAACATTTGGATAATTAAGATCATATATTAACTAATGGGAAAGACCATAGCATATATTATAAGTAAGAACAGTGGGTTAATGTTTGTCACATGAAAAATCTGCATAACCTTTACTAACAAACAAAAGATATATAGTTTTAATGAAAAACCACACGAACAAAAAGCTAATTTCATCAGAACGTAATTATTTTTCTATATAGTTTTGAATAAGTGAATAAACGGTTGAAAAGCTTAAGAAGTCTGTCTCATTTTTCTAATAATGTATTTGTAGGTTTTGAACATTTCTACTGTCATTGTGGCACTAGACAACCGTTCTAAAAAAGAATAATATTCTCTCACCTTTCACTCATATTGTTTCAAATGTTTTAAATCAAATACATGTACGATTTAAAGAGGAACAGGACCTTTCGCTGAAAAAATTCCTGTCAGTAAATTTTTTGCGTATTTTTTATATTACTAATTTAATACGTACTTAACATTTTAAAACGGTCTTGTCATGGGATTTCTTGACTTATTTAGAGGTTATCGCCCCACAAAATACCACCCTGTTTAGAGTTTGTAAGAAGTTTGGAAACTTCATGTTTACGGGCCTATAACGGAGTCCATAATGCGAATTTTCACGCACAAACGATAAATATGATAGATAACACTATATAATCAAATATTTCAGAATATTCATAGTGTTTAAATTATCTGAAAGCAATTGTTTTAATTTTATATAGTATTTGGGTGGGAAAATTTCTGCATTTTTCAAGGCAGCTTCAACGACAAAAACTTCATTTGGAAAAAATTCTGTCAATAAATATTTCTAAATTTACGATGGAATGTCAGTCCTTCATCGTAATTATTTATTTTAAATATTGAAGCTTACCTCAATATCGCACAGGACATCGTTGAATTAGACGTAAGCATAAAAACAACGTATTTTCCGAGTGCGGTAAATCAATTGTGACGTCACACGAAAACATAAACATTCAAAATTATCTAAAAAGAGAGAATCTCTGCTACTAAACTCAAAAAAATATTAAATAAAAAAATCTGCTTCAGAAATTTATCCCGATACATTGACTGTGACCTGTTTATGATGAAATAAAACTGATCATGACGGGTGTGTGTACTTGATCTCGCTGCACTGAGAATTCAAAAACTACGTCTATGAAGTCACTAACGTCAGACTGCAGGGTAAAGAGAAACAAATGTTTGGATTGGGCAACTTCACAATATCTAAAAGATGGCAAGATCTTTAAAAATTTTATTAATTATAATTTCTAAAATTAAATGTTTAAAAACAATTTTAGTATTTAGAATAAAATTACACAAGAACTGTTGATTTTAACAACGTTTAATTTGTATATCATCACCGATTATGACGTAATATGTCTTTTTAGTCATGTGACATGTGTCCTGTCTCCCCTTAAAATCAAAGGTTACCATACACCTTAATCACGTCTGGCGGCAAACGGTCAAACTGTTGTAAAAATTATTTATTTTCTTTTGATCAAGTTTTTGTGGTTTGAGAAAAACATACAGGTTCGGGGGAATTGGACTTTGTTGTTGAGGAATAGACATACAATGTACCTGTTAAAATAGAATTTTAACTCTTCGTGGGGGACATGAATTCCTAGGTCTATTCATGCAATGAAAATAACAAAATATTAATCCCCCAACGGAAATTATTGATATCACATTATATAACCTACACAATCAAATTATAGAGGAAGATGGACAAGAAATGTTTACATACAGGAAATATGTTTACGATTTACCAAACAGTTGAACGATCAAACAATCAAAACAATGATCATACACGCAGACCATGTGAGTAATAACCCAGAAGTGCATTGTCTTAAGCTGCAAAATCAGTTTTGTATAATAAAAGTTGTTGTATATACGTGTAGTTGCTGCTGGCTCCTATGGATAAGCACTTCAAGGTTGTTGAGTTTTTTTTTTTATTTGTTTAGTGATTATTAATAAAATTTGGACTTATATATTGAGGGTATAATATAAGTGTATTGAAAAATGTGTTTTTAAAGGAAAACATTGACGCACGTAGAGTAAATGACCTTCCATAGACTTTTCAAACAAGTAAGCTTCATTTGTAGATAAATAAGAGGACAAGCGTACAGTCGTTGGTGATAAAAAGGTAAAAAGTCTAGACTTACATATATCGTAAGTCCACCGCAATATTGCTGATAAAACTCAATGTAAATATTTTAATTGCAACATGCAGTAAATTCTTTGAAGCAGGAGTTCCCATTACGATCCAACATATCAAATATAGCATCTTACATCTAATTACATTTAATTAAAACGTCCGGACAGTGTTGGAAAGAAGAACTCACAACAAAAAAGTTTTGTGCAAAATAAAAAATGAAAACCAATATTGTTTGAGTAGAGTCTGAGGCATACATGTAAGCGCATTCACCTTGCATTTGCTCTTAGTTGAAAACGTAAACATATTTACTGAATTAAATGCATGCATTTTCCTTGAAAGAAATGATTGCATAAGGCAAAACAAAAGATACCATATATTTGATTTGATTTGCACAAACAATTTATTCTACTTGCCTTGACAATGATTTGTAATGAAATAAGGCAACCACAACTGTTTGAAAGTTTACCCTTGAAAATGCCGTATTGAAGGAGAAAATACAATAATCAAATTATATCTGAACATGTTTACTACACAGCAAAGCGATTCTTTGTGATCACTTTAACCAGCGTCTGCCAATTTGTCTGTATATCTGTTTGTTTGTATGTATGTATGTTTGCATGTATGCCTAACTTTCACACCTTACATGTATATCTCGAAAACTGTAAGAGGCATGGCTTGTATATTTTTGTACATATATTGCTTGGCAGTGTGTCTTTTGTAAATCACCATGGTTACCGGCTTAGTGATCGTTGACTTTGAACAACTTTTGAAGATAGCTCCTATGGTCGAAATACAGCATAAGTTTGAGTCATTGTGACGAAGGCAACTCAGGTTAAACGATATGAACTAAATTTTTTATCCAATCAAATGACGCATTGCAAAATTAAATTATTTGTGTTTACTAGATAATAGAATTTCCAGATTTTCGCTGGCTTAATGATATCCTTTGGAAAAATGTTAACCAAGTTTGATAGTCAATGGATAACGAAATGGTTAATAATGTGAATAATAGACTGAATATATCAGTGGGTGGTAAAGATGTAGAAAACTAGTTTTAATTGTAACGGGGACCGTTACAGATGTTCCCCAAACGCTCCCCAAATCCCTTTTTTGTGCCATTTTCCTGCAAGACATTTTTAAAATATGCTCAGTATCAAAGGATTTCATATAAGAATTAATAAAGCTACAATGATACCGACTATATGTCATTTAACTCACTGAACGCGCACGCACGTGCATGCACGTGCAAGATTATCATGGCATGTTGTCTAAACCATTAACATTTCTTTATATCGTGAGAATCAATAAGAAAAATCATAAAAATATAAATGTTACCGTTTTTCAAATATATTGGTCATTTTGCGTATTGTGTGCTTGCACGTGCATGCACGTGTGTCCTTGCATTCAATTCTGATAGTAGCATAATGTAGTAATCCATTATACCTATCCATATTCTAAATTTCATCCAGTTCTGTTGAGAACCAAGAAAGTTATAGGCATTTAAAGTTTCAGCCAATCAAATTGCAGCACATGTGCATGCGCATGCTTTTATGATAATTCTTATATATCAGGCTGTATATCTTCATAATGTATGACTTTGTTTAAAATTTCAAATGATTTTGTCAAAAAACAAGAAAGATATTGATACTTTAGTATCAGCCAATCAGAGCGAAGCGCACGTGCATGCGCGTGAGATCTTGCTATTTTGACCATGTCATCATGTCTATACTACTAATATATCCTCACATTATGAGTTTCAAAGTATTTCATCAAAAAATAGAAAAGTTGCGGCTATATCTATTATATAGGTCATTTCACGTGTTGCACGTGCACGCTCTTGCAAGCACGTGCGCGCAAAATGACCTTGATTCCGCAAATCTACATAACATGTCTACTGACCCTAAAAAGGTTTTACCTACCTCGGATGAACAGTTTACAAGATCACTCCCGGACAAAAAAGTACCCAGGAAGAAGAAGAAGAAGAAGAAGAAGAAAAATAATAATAACTAGATGAGATCTCGTTGCGAGCAACGAGTAGGTCTTCCGTTCGATTTTTGATAAGGTTATAAAACAACTTTAAATGAAAAAAAAGTGTTCAGATCAATTATTCAAAATACGTGAGAACACATTTAAGAGTGAAATCTATCAATTTCAAACAACTTCCGGTCTTTATAATTCACTTCCGGTGTGACCGGAAGTACTTAAAATGACCTATAACTCCTTTCTGAGTGTGAAAGAATCATCCCTGATAATTTGAAAAATGCTCATTTTTTGGACTACTTCCGGTTTGGAAAAAATTTTGGACATAATATTACATGAGACACTCTATTTGTCTTCATAAGAAACATTTAAAAAAGAAAAAAATAAAATTTTGCATATTTTTAAACTACTTCCGGTGGACGACGGACGCAACGGAAACAAAATCCATATATCCTTCTCAAATCTAGGAGTCATAATCTATCATCCCTGAAAGTTTCAGGACCCAATCTCCAACCGTTTTCGAGAACACTCTCGGACAAAATGACACTTTAAAAACAGAAAAATGGCCATATCTCGCGACCGGAAGTGACGACGGCAAAATAAAAAAAAACGCATGAAGTTCAAATAGTTTTCTATCATTGCTGAAAGTTTCATGAAAAACTGTCGAGGCGTTCTCGAGAAATCGAGAATCGAAATGCACAAAATCAGTAAGAAAAAAAAGAATAATTATAACTAGATACGATCTCGTTGCGAGCAACGAGAGGTCTTCCGTCCGATTCCGTTAAAAAAAAACGTAAAGTCGAGATGAAAATGTAAAAAAAAAATATTGCACTCAAGGGGGATTGAATCCAAATCGCCAGCATGAAAATCGAACGCGCTAAATATTACGCTATTGGGACCTCTGCTCTAAATCTTTTTGTATATACCTCTGTATAACAGTGCTTTTGTTATAAAAGGCTAATCACTATTCATAATTTCTCGCAAACGCCACGAGTTAATCTTGGCGCCTTTTCTTTGAAATGTTCTATTTAATACGTGTGATAGCTTCAATGAAATAAAAAACCGTTTATGTAGCCTAAAATTCGACGATTAGAAAGTATATTTAACACATTTTACAAATTCCATATAGTATGTAAGCAAGTAACACTTTTTTTTATTTTGAGAACCAGCCAAAACCAATTATAGAAGACGTTTAAGAAGAACGTAGTTTGACACAAATTGCAACGTAACTTTGAAAATCCAAGTATTCCTTTACATTTTATTTGTCCCTATGTAACTTTCCTTCAAGCAAATGTGCCTCCATAAACCCCTATTGCGAAATTGCCAGAGACGGCCGCCAATTTTGGCAGATTTTTAATTGTTAATATCAAGAGTTTGGATTTATCAATATTCAAACAAATCATACAGTAAGCATTATAAGAAGGGTCTCTATTATCATTCCAAAAATAAATGAAAAATATTGAAAAACAAAAAAGTTAGAAAATGCGGACTTTTTAATTTCGCTTTAACGACACACGAATGGGTGATTCGTCATATCTAAAAGTCATCATCTTTGTCTCTTATAAGTCTCCAGTTAATATCTTAAACCATTTTCGAAAAAAACAAAATTGCATTTTAAAATCAGAAAAGTGTCAATAACTTGGAACCAAAGGTGAGTATTCAAAATTTTTCTATCCATGCCACAACTTCATATAATATAATGAAAGTTTCATTAAAAACCACTGAATAGTTTTCGAGAAATCGCGTGCACAAAATTTTGGGGAAAAAAATAAGAATAATAATAATAAGAAGAAGAAGAAACAGTGAATCACTAGAAATAAATCAGTAGAAGGTCTTCCTTAAGACGGAAGATCATATATAAAAACAATATGTTCCCCAACTTATGATGGATAACTCACCCACGTCCCGAATGATATATTTTGTATGGTTTGGCCAGCCTTTCTTTTTCTGTGTCTTTGCCAACACTGGCCAAACACTTATTTTATAAGTAGTCATGGCATTGAGATCATTTAAGTAGCAACTAGGTTCCTGGGAAACTATCTCTCGCTTTTTAATCCACATTTTGTTGCCATCTATTTCGTAAAGGTTCACCAAATAGTTTAATTCAAAATGCTCAAAAAATTCTGGAGGAAGCCATTTTACAGATAATTCATGTGTAGATAGTTCCTCGATCTGCAGTGATTTTGGATAAAGTCCTACAAAAAAGAAAAGATTCACCGAATAGAACTAGAATAAATAAAAATGATCTGTTTGATAACTTATTTTGTAGGGTAAAATATTAAATCTATTTCATGGTTGAAAAATGCAGTCATGATTTTATAAATTTCGTTTTAGGTTTAAGGAAACGTAATACCTCTTTTGTCCATACGTGTTCGACAAGTATCTATAAAGAAAATCTTCGGTTTGTCCGAGAAATCTTTCCAGTGTTTTTGAGAAACTAGTCCGAAAACGTCTTGGTAAGAAACCATGTACTCATCACTCGTGTTAAACCCATCCAAATTACCATGGGTTGCGATAAAACACATAAACATACTGTAGCTAATGAAATCCTTCCTTGACGTGATTTTCTGTAGTTCTTGAATAATATCCTCTTTTCCGCCATTGTGAATTTTAACTATAAGGTCGTCCTTAACTATCATATCTCTCTCAAACAATTTTAACAGGTTAGCTGTAAATTTTTAAAGAATAATATTTGATTCCCTATAGTAGGTACCAAATTAAATGAACAAAAATATTTACACATTTATTGAGATTCATAAATAATGTTCTATGTCATTTTATTGAAAACGTAAAAAGATTTTTTTAAAAAAAGAATTACTTGGTGATATAATTTTTAAATATCAATATAAGTCATTCACTTAATGTTTTCTTCGAAACCGGATGTAGAGATTATTGTTTTATCGTCAAATAACCTTAAATAATGCCAGTTACCTAAAGTTTTCTTCAGGACAGGAAGCGGTTTACTCTTTTTGAACAAATCATTAAGGATGATGAACACAACTTCTAAAATACACGACCAATCAAATATATAATTAAAAAACAAATTTATCACAATTATCAAAAACAATATTACAAAAATATGTGTACACTAAATTTGGTATCTTTTCCGGATACCGAAAGACCACATGTGTTATGAAATACCAATATCACCTTGTTTAGGAAAAAGGTAAATAAAAAAACCCATAGATTAGTATGCATTAATATTGAAAGATTGATAATTCAAAATGTTAATTATATTGATGAAATTAAATAATTTTACCTTTAAAATTTTCATTAAGAGGGCTGGGGGTCTCGGACATTTATAGACTATATTGATCTCCTTTAGAAGAACAGCTCCATATTAAGATACAAAAAATGGTCAAATTGTAAAACTAAAATGTGTGAATTTTTCTTTGCCAAATGATAGTTGACAGCTTAAGATATCATATATAAAAATTAAGTTAAATGTGATGGATAATTTGTTGACCCCCAGCCTCCTTAACGGGGATCAATTGGAACATTAAATAGAATGGGTTGTTTCTTACTTTTAGGTTCCTTTCTCTTATGTACAAGTATTGGCGGTTTATCTGTAAGGAAATAGTTCTGTGAGGAAATCAAATGCAGTAATCAAGGGGAAAAATCTGTAGAATTTACAATCACAATTGGAAAACATCCGACAAGATCAAACCAGTTAAGGATTCTTTATATACTCACCGTCAATAGAAACGCAACACCCTAATTTTAGGATGAAAATTATATACAGATTATAACTACAAAAAAGTTAGGACATCTTTTACTTTGCCAAATCAGTTATTTAACGGTTGAATGAATTTCTTTCCATTACCGGAAGTTGCTTTTTAGCCTTCTTAAAAGAATTCAAAATTTTCCATTTTTAATAAAATTTAAACAATATTTTGGGTTTCCAAGGTTTTGAAACTGTTAGTCATAATTACTGTACTAAAAGGCCGGGAAAAAAATCCTTCTTTCTTTACCGGATGTGATGCCTATATTTCCTCAAAATGACTGATAGCAAGGAGGGGGATGTTTTAAGAGTTATGTGTTACCTTCTAAAGTTTAATGATAACATTAAAAATGAATATATTTAGGTAAAAAGTAAATTTACCTAAAATTAATGCTCCATTTAAACATTAAATGTTATTTCTAGACCTTAGAAAGAAACAAATACCCGTTAAATCTTAAAAAATCGACCATTTAATGAAAACGTACTAGTCCGCCATATACAACAAATGCAGCCCGATTTCTACCATGCATTAAGTTTATTTATGTCTTAATCTGAGCGAAATTAATATTCTTGGGCATTTCTAAATACATGTTTTTCAGATATTGCGGTCGAACTTTCTCTAACCTGGCATAGTGTAGAACTTTTTGACTTCCGGTCAAGAAACTGCCATTTATGCTATTGAAACACATGAGCCTGATGAGTCGTTATATACTGTACATTTGCATCTGCAGCTCTTTTTTTCTTTATTTGAGAATTTCCAGCGTTAGCAATGAAAATCAGTCATTTTGAGGAAATATAGGCATCACATCCGGTAAAGAAAAAAGGATTTTTTTTCCCGGCCTTTCAGAACAATACTTATGATTAACAGTTTCAAACCCTTGGAAACTCAAAATATTGTTAAAATTTTATTAAAAATGGAAAATTTTGAATTCTGTTGAGAGAACTAGAAAACAACTTCCGGTAATGGAAAGAAATTCATTCAACCGTTAAATAACTGATTTGGCAAAGTAAAAGATGTCCTAACTTTTTTGGTACATAGTTATAACCTGTATATAATTTTCAACCTAAAATTAGGGTGTTGCATTTCTATTGACGGTGAGTATATTAAGCTGTAACAAAAAAATCGCAACATTCTACATTGTAACTATAACTACTTATTGTGTCTTACTTTAAAAACTTAAAGTAACTATACACTTGGTTAAAATCATAATGAAAAAAGAAAACAAGGTATGATCAAATGTACTTTATTTCCCCATCAATGTATTGGCGCGGTTCCAAAACCAGAAGTCTCTGTCGAGACTGAAGCTCTACTGGTTTGTACTTATAGCAAAGGAAGAGAAAAGTACTTAAGCAGTTGGAAATTGAAACTTTTCAACAGCAATAAATAGAATAATGATCCTTGATTAAGTCTCTTTATGTTCTTAGTGCAGTCTACTTGCATGCCACATTTATATTATAATCAAACTAAAATTGTATTTGGAGTAGCATTTTGAAAGAATTTCACAGAAATTTCTATTTTTAGTAACCACGGCAACACCGTTCAACAAAATCAAAAACCGATACACAGAATTGTGTATCTTAGTGTAGTCTACTTGTGTGCCAAGTTATAATGAAATCAGACTAAAACTGTAGGAGGAGTAGCATTTTGAAAGAATTTCACAGAAATTTCTATTTTTAGTAGCCACGGTAACACCGTTCATCGAAATCAAAAACCGATACACAGAATTGTGTATCTTAGTGTAGTCTACTTGTGTGCAAAGTTATATTGAAATCAGACTAAAACTGTTGGAGGAGTAGCATTTTGAAAGAATTTCACAGAAATTTCTATTTTTAGTAACCACGGCAACACCGTTCATCGAAATCAAAAACCGATACACAGAATTGTGTATCTTAGTGTAGTCTACTTTTGTGCCAAGTTATATTGAAATCAGACTAAAACTGTAGGAGGAGTAGCATTTTGAAAGAATTTCACAGAAATTTCTATTTTTAGTAACCACGGCAACACCGTTCAACAAAATCAAAAACCGATATACAGAATTGTGTATCTTAGTGTAGTCTACTTGTGTGCCAAGTTATATTGAAATCAGACTAAAACTGTAGGAGGAGGAGCATTTTGAAAGAATTTCACAGACATTTCTATTTTTAGTAACCACGGCAACACCGTTCATCGAAATCAAAAACCGACACACAGAATTATGTATCTTAGTGTAGTCTGCTTTTGTGCCAAGTTAAATTGAAATCAGACTAAAACTGTAGGAGGAGTAGCATTTTGAAAGAATTTCACAGAAATTTCTATTTTTAGTAACCACGGCAACACCGTTCATCGAAATCAAAAACCGATACACAGAATTATGTATCTTAGTGTAGTCTACTTGTGTGCCAAGTTATATTGAAATCAGACTAAAACTGTAGGAGGAGTAGCATTTTGAAAGAATTTCACAGAAATTTCTATTTTTAGTAACCACGGCAACACCATTCATCGAAATCAAAAACCGACACACAGAATTATGTATCTTAGTGTAGTCTGCTTTTGTGCCAAGTTATATTGAAATCAGACTAAAACTGTAGGAGGAGTAGCATTTTGAAAAATTGTTTACAGACATTGACAACAGACAGACAGACAGACAGACAGACGGACGACGGACGCATTACTATCGCATAAGCTCTTCTGGTCTCTGACCAGTAGAGCTAAAAACCACGTGCAGAGCGGAACAAACAGCTAGACAGAAGCAGGGCTTGGAGCACGTGGATTGGCGGAATCAAAGAATGTAAATATAAGGAATAACTGTCAGATTTTTCAATTTCATGACGATGATCAATCGATTGGCTTGCGTGATAATTTTATGCATAAACGCCTTCGGCGTTTATGCAAATTATCACGCAACCCAATCGATTGATCACATCATGAAATCGAAAAATAAGACAGTTATTCCTTAAGAAAGCATTTTGATTTTTTTTAAAATGAAGATACTTATGTAAGAAATCAATGCTTTTATTGTCAAGAAAGCATTTTGATTTGTTAAAAATGAAAAGATATTTATGTAAGAAATCAATGCATTTATTGCCAAGAAAGCATTTTGATTTGTTAAAAATGAAAAGATAATTATGTAAGAAATCAATGCATTTATTGCCAAGAAAGCATTTTGATTTGTTAAAAATGAAAAGATACTTATGTAAGAAATCAATGCATTTATTGCCAAGAAAGCATTTTGATTTGTTAATTGTTTATGTTTTATTTTCATATCTATATATTTATATATTTCGATATTTGACTCCTCGTTTTTTTTATTTTGACTGCTAGTCTGTTTGCCTTTTAATTTATTTTCCTTTCTAATCTCTCTTTTTCTTTAAATTTCTTTGTTTGTGGCTTTTATTTGTTAGTGTGTTGTATTTACATAAATAGTGATGGGAAAAAATTATAAAAGGTGAAACACACAACCAAACAAAAAAAGAATAAAATGATAAAAATGATCTAGAGAATGATAAACATGAACAAAATTTTATTTTCGACTGTACACATGATTGGTATACATCTAAATTACACAGCTTGAGTTTCATCTTACCCCGCTTGCCAGCAACTGTGCTCTCATTATCAGAATCTACAATAATATTTTTTAGAAGGTGAAAAATTATTATATATTGAGATTATTTAAAAACTATGTGTTTAATAATTGTTGTTTTAGAATTGAATTATTAAAGATTATGATTCTGAATTTATGTACGCTGCACATCATAATAGTATACGCAGTAAGGATAAAAAAGTATTGATATTGAAATCATTTCTATGAATTAAAAGGGTTTCTCCCTCTTTTCGCTTCAATTTAGATCTTTCTCTCTGTTTAATTTCATAGTTTACAGAAAAAAGTATACCTTCTTCGATTTGTTCCGGCTGTTTAGGCATCGTTTTGATTATCTGATCCACGTCTTCAATCCTAGCTAAAATCAGAAAAAAACGTAAACAATAAATGATCAGTTAAAAAGAAGCAAGAAAGTCAAATACAACCACGGCGCTTACTATTTAGTTTTTATTTATTAAATACGTATGCTTGTTTCTTTATTTTATAAAATAGACAAAGGCAGATATAGAACTCATATTACCCTTCATAATAGCCAGGTCTGTTCCTGCTTGAGCAATTTTTGATCCTACAAAATATTTGATGGAGAGAATTACAAAAACATCTACCGCTAGATAGAATTTTCTGTATGATTACTAGGGTCTATGCATTTATGGTGAATGACTCTGAATTTTGCCAGACGATTGATTTCTTAATCGAGTTCATAAAGAAGTCTTGAAATACTAAATTTCAAATGTTAACAGTAAAATTGTTTGATTTTTGTCTAAATATAACTTTTAATACGAGTTTGCTAACCCTCTCCCCCAAGTGACCAATTTGTGAATTACTTTTATCGAACATAATATTTAATGAATTAACAAATTATAATAGGGATGGCAATTTGTAACCGGTTAATCGATTAATCGGTCGGAACGATGCTAATCGGTTAGAAAATCCGTAATCGGTTAGTCGGAAAAAATTGAATATGTGTAAATTTGAGCGCAGTTTCCTTAAAATCCCTTCTGTTTTTATTTTTAGGAAGGAAAGCGCTGCATAGAATTTTTATTTAGTGTTTTTACACATCTTATAATTAAGAATATTTGGAGGTAATCATAGGTCTCCAGATTGAGATTGCAGGGTAATTGGTCAATTCGTAAAGTGTTAATTACTGTTTTTGTAACATCATGCCGTACCCAGATAGTCCTGTGGGTTCTTTTTAATGATATTAAAAACATCACCGTTGAGCACTTTTAATTATAGTATGTCTGTATTTTGCCGTTATCTATTAAATGGGCATGGACACAGTTTCAGTCAAAAATTTTCATTTCATGTTTTTTTGTTTACAAACACTTAAGTAAGGTATTTCTAATGATCATCAAAATTTTGAATTTCAGTTGTCGAGATACAAAACAGATTTAGAGCTCCCAAACTTTGTTATGTAAACAAAGCCTGTGCCATGTTTTTGTTTACATAGGTTAAACATACCAATATATGTTCATTCAAAGCAGATTTTTTCATAAATAACTCATGATTTGCTGAATCTCCTTCTGTTATAAACATGATATTTTCTATATGTAAACAAAAACAAGACACGAGCCTTGTTTACGTTAATTCTAAGTTCTGTTTCTCCTTTGTAAATCAACAAATGGTGTTCAAATTTTCGCTGATCATTGAAGTTGCCTTAGTTATAGATTTATATCATTAAAATTGGTTAAAAAAATCAGTTGAAACTGTGTCCATGCCCCTTTAAATTATATTATTATAAAGAACGCTGTAAATTGTAAATAAAGTGAGAGTTCAGACATAAACTAGTTCTGATTATGGTGACAACACAGAATTATATTCTTTAACAGGTCCAGCATTAATAGCTATATAGCTTTATCAAGGTATAATGAAAATACAAAAAAAACTCTAAAAAAGTAAATACTCGAGTTCTGAGTTGCTGTCAGTACATTCACTCATGCAAGTAAAGTACTCAAACACAAAGAAATCAGTATAAAAGCATGCCCTGTGAGGAGACGGTTCTTTTATGCTGTCCTTTTGATACCCGAGTACTTTTCATGCACGAGTGAACACACTGGCGACAACTCATAATTCAACTTTTAAATTTAATTTTTTCAGATTTTTTTTTTGTATTTTCTTTACAAAAAATACCTTGATCAAGGTATTTGTAATACCTTGATAAAGCTTTATCAAGCTATATACCTTCATCAGGGTATTGTGCTGGACCTGTTTAACATCTGCGTTGGAAAATTATCCCTGTCTGATTTCTTTATTTTTTCTTGTATATTAAAATTGACATAAATTACACTCTTATGTACATAAAATTCCCCGATCAAAATAATAAACAGAATGTAACTTCTAACGTCTTTTTAGCCTTTTTGTGTATATGAAAAGAAAATGTCAAAATGTATATCTTGATACGACTAACCGGTTAATCGGTCGGAACGTTTTGCGGTTAACCGATTGGCAATTCTGCAATCGATTGCCATCCCTATAATTAACATTAAGTAAAATAAACAAGTCTTTATATTTCATATTACTTTGTAGTGTGAAATAGATAGATCAAAGATCTATGGAGACCATATTTCTAGATTCACTAAAGGGTACTAAAATATGGAAAGCACAAACAGTAATTAAACATGTTAAACCCAAAAGTCCACTGGAATGCCATAGGAAGAGTTAGTTTTCCCCGGGCGACTGCTCAAATGATGGCCTAACAATTATTATTCTTGGTTTTTGTTCTTTAAAAATATTTTCTTTTTCATCAAGCTGTCCTTTTCCTGACCAAAAAATCCTTTAGGAATATATTTTTTTAAAAATGCATATCTTTGAAATCATTTAAGAAAAAAGAGTAATTTTGCCATTCCTTTTCTAAAGAACTTAGGTCTTATGATTAAGTACCAAACTTAAATATAGCGGGGTATTTACTGAACTCTAATTACTTTTTTCTGCAGCCTTATTCCTCAAGGATATAATAAAACAAACAGCTGAATTATAATGAGAAAAGTAATTACATGTATTAAACGAGAAGATAATTACCTGCAGGAATCTTTTGACCTGGTTCTTGAGCCAAATCTTTGGCAACTAAAATGGATTCAAAATAAAACTCTACATCTGAGGATATTTGTAGATTATTGATTATTGATTTTAAATTTTTAAAATTATACTGTATGTATATGCACATGATATTTGAAGATAATGAACGGTGAATAATTACCTAAAAAAATTAGTACTACAGTATAAATTCGGAGAAGAACAAACGCAATCACGGACTCCTTAAACATCTAAGGTCGGATCTTGTGCCATAGAGGAGTAAGCATTCCCTGTCGATTGGTCCAACCAGCTTATGACCAGTCGCTTTGATCAATATTGACTTTATTCGAAATTGTTGATATTCTTATATCATCAAACTACTCGTTCATATATTGCCTTGTTTAAGAAGTTGTTCGAGCAAAAAAATACATATATAAAAATACTTTTACCTTCCGTTTTCTTTTTTTCCTCGGTTGGTAACGACCCAGGCACATAAGCTAGTAACCTGACGTCATACTCTGTATTTGGCATAAGCTTTTTGATTACATAAGAATGTCCTTTCGTATCTGCCTTATTTGTTTCAGCTGCTGGTTTGGCTTTTTCCCGCCATTCTATTCGATACATCATGGTACCTCTTTTGGTATGCAGGGGAGGTTGCCATGTTATTTTAATGTCGTTTGCTCCTAGGAATGCTTTTATTTTTGTTGGTTGTACAAAACCCTCTACCAGACCATCTGAAAAAAGAATATTTCATAGACTGATACAGTGCAGTAGAGAAAACAAGGAAATTTAATATGAGACACAAAAAATACTATTTCATTTTCTCTATGTACAATAAATTTTTGCTTCCTTTAATTTCATTAGAAATGGATGAAGGACTTAATGCAATACAGAAAAGACAGTCACCCACTGTCAAGGTAAAAACTTTAAAAATAGGGTCCAAGTTATTTTCATTTTTATGCTGCTTTAATCGTATTTATCATTAAAAGATACTAGAAGTTTGCTTACTGATTATTTTATTTCATTCAAACCCTCTGAACTTGCTATTCAGAATCTAAATTTGAATGGATATAGATTGTTAAGAGGTGGAGGTTTATGAGTCAGTATATCATTTCGTTATTATTTGAGTGAAAATTCTCGAAAGGGATGTAAAACAACATACAATCAATCAATTAAATTTATACAGATCTGATGGTTCTGATTTGTCGAGAACAAATGCGATCATGTACTTGTAGTTTCCGTTTACCAGTACATGTAATTAGATTTTTTTTTCTTATACAGCAAGGCATTTGATGGCACACATAAACTTTCACCTTTTCACGTAAAAGAAAATGATTATGGTAAAATCACTCCCTGAATTCAGATAACCATCATGATATAGTGAATTAGGATTTAAAGTATCATAAAAACGTTTCTCCATTCTCTAGAATTTTAGAAAGGTTTCCAAACTTTTCAAATTATATGTTAAAATATGTTTTTTAATGCTCTCATTTTCCCAATATTTTCAGAATATAATTCTTTTGTGAAGAAAAGGTAAATGTCCTTTGATTTAAAAAAAATAGAATTTTGTTTTCTCTGAGCAGTACTTTTTTTCACTAACCTGAAACCAAGAGGTTCAGACATCTGCATCCTAATTATCACATATTACGTAAGTAGACAAACAAGAAGAAGTGTGTCGAAAACAAATTAGAATTTTTTAAAATAAAGATCGTTCATTAACATACTTAAAAACTAATATAAAATAAGGATAATAACCGCCAGATATTAAAAGCGTAATTTAAAATAAATTAAAAATGATAACATTTATTGTGAAAGATTATTAAAACATTTATTACCACGTGCACATTAGCATCTAGATTCTATGATTAACACGATGTGATTTTCATGCATTTACTTCTTTTTTTCTTATTTGTACTTTTACTTCTTTTATTATGGAACACTCTTAATGTGATGATATTTCATCATTATATGTCGATACTTTGACATTATATTCTGATACTGTAAATACTGTATTCCATCTCTATATGCTGATAAATGTAGTACAACATTATATGTTGATAATTCAACAGTATATGATGAAACTTGAATTGATATTCTATGTCGATACTTAAAAATTATACAAGTTTGTCAATATTTAATCTTTTTTAGTGGATACTTTGACATTATATATTGTTATACCTTTTTAAAATGTGTTCCTTTACAAATCTATGCAAAAACCAGAAGTCTCTGTCGAGACTGAAGCTCTACTGGTTTGAACTTATAGCAAAGGAAGAGAAGAGTACTTAAGCAGCTGGGATTTGAAACTTTACAACAGCAATATATAGAATAATGATCGTTGATAAAGTCTCTTTATGTTCTTAGTGTAGTCTACTTGTGTGCCAAGTTATACTGAAATCAGACCAAAACTGTAGGAGGAGTAGCATTTTAAAACAATTTTACAGACATTTCAATTTTTAGTAACCACGGCAACACAGTTCATCAAAATTAAAATTTGATACACAGAATTATGTATCTTAGTGTATTCTACTTGTGTGCCAAGTTATATTGAAATCAGACCAAAACTGTAGGAGGAGTAGCATTTTGAAACAATTTTACAGATATTTCTATTTTTAGTAACCACGGCAACACCGTTCATGTAAATCAAAAACAGATACACAGATTTATGTATCTTAGTGTATTCTACTTGTGTGCCAAATTATACTGAAATCAGATCAAAACTGTAGGAGGAGTAGCATTTTGAAAGAATTTCACACAGAAATTTCTATTTTTAGTAACCACGGCAACACCGTTCATCGAACTCAAAAACCGATACACAGAATTATGTATCTTAGTGTAGTCTACTTGTGTGCCAAGTTATACTGAAATCAGACCAAAACTGTAGGAGGAGTAGCATTTTGAAAGAATTTCACAGAAATTTCTATTTTTAGTAACCACGGCAACACCGTTCATCGAAATCAAAAACCGATATACAGAATTATGTATCTTAGTGTAGTCTACTTGTGTGCCAAGTTATACTGAAATCAGACCAAAACTGTAGGAGGAGTAGCATTTTGAAAGAATTTCACACAGAAATTTCTATTTTTAGTAACCACGGCAACACCGTTCATCGAACTCAAAAACCGATACACAGAATTATGTATCTTAGTGTAGTCTACTTGTGTGCCAAGTTATATTGAAATTAGACCAAAACTGTAGGAGAGGTAGCATTTTGAAAAATTGTTTACAGACAGACGGACAGACGGACAGACAGACAGACGGACAGACGGACGGACGCCGGACGCATTACTATCGCATAAGCTCTTCTGGTCTCTGACCAGTAGAGCTAAAAATCAAACATGTCTAATGTTTACTGTGCGGGCCTAAAAAAAATTGATGTTAAACCGCTGAGTGAGATGCTGGACCTTTCAATGAGACTTAGGTCGCTTACGTCACACAATGGGAGGAGCTTAATCACATTTGCATGCGTTAGTGTTTAACAATGACGAGCCAGAAGTGACATTACGAGATACATGTATGTTAAAAAAAATCAAAATAAAATTGTAAGAAATAAATGGTATAACGAAACATTTATTGACTGTTTTCTCGGGCAAAATACCTTTGTCGACCCTCGAACAAGACTGTCTGCCTTCGGCCTAACAGCCTCAGGCAAACAGGTTGGTTATTGGGTCCGGCAAAACGCATGTTGCCCTGAATAACTGTATACAGTTACTTTAACATTATATAGAGAATAAATACATACCCTTTTCCATATCACATCCTGTATCAGCCCGAGACACCAATATTAGCTAGAGCTCCGAGGGCTGATATTGGTCGAGGGCTGATACAGGATGTGATGAGAAATGCTATGTTTTATTATGTTTATTACATAATTAGTAATAAAATACAACACACATCAACCTGAAATAAAAATAAATAATCATGTACGGAATTCTGACATGTATATACATAACTTATTGCCTCACTTGGTTTGGGTATGTTTCTACTTCCATTTCAAATATGTCCGATTCGTAGTTTGAAACAATCTTTTGTCAATTAGATGATCCTTACAATCAAAAAGTCAAAATTAAGAGAAAGTGTACCCCTAAAATATGTGTATTATTACAAATACTGTTTTTGAGGTTTAGTTTTCTACGGGTGTGATATTGATTCGTATCAGCCCCGCAGATACATATCAGCCCTGCAGGGCTGATACAGCTATTGTGACGTCAGGCATATTGCATATGCAAAAATCCTGTATTTCTTACTAAGTATGTAATAAATGATGATATATTAACATGAAATGATATGTTAATGTATTATCAAATGCTGATACTTTGACATTATATGCTTATACTTTAAAATTATAAGTCGATAATTAAACATTAACGCAGATCCTTTAAATTTACATGACATGCTGTAGCTTTAATGTTATACATTTATTATGACTCACTTTTTGACACCACAAGCTGTCATGTATAAAACTTTATTATATACTTAGTAATAAATACAGGATTTTGCATATGCGATATGCCTGAAGTCACAATAGCCGTATCAGCCCTGCAGCTGATGTGGTTTTGCGGGGCTGATACGGATCAATATCATGCCCCTAGAAAATTAAAATCTAAAAAAAAGTGATCATTGTGATCATACAGTCACATATTTTTGGGGTACATATTCTCTTCATTTGAACACTAATTTAACTTTTTGAATGTAAGAATAATCTAAATGACAAATAAAAACACATTTTCTTCTCAACTTAATGTGTACTGTATTTTATTATTATGTACATATACGTAATAAACATAATAAGACATACCCTTTTCCACATCACATCCTGTAGTAGTCCTCGACCAATATCAGCCCTGGGGCCTTCGGCCGTCTTGCTGATATTGGTATCTGGGGATGATACAGGATGTGATATGGAAACTCGACTATTGCGCATTACGCGAGATAAATTGCTTTCAAAAATTTCATTCTCGCGTACAATAGTATTTCATTGGACTGTATAATGTAGTAACCACGATTAGCTAAAAATTAGTTTCGCTGTAAACGGGACAATGACTATCTCGCGAAAACAAGGTGTCGCAAAAATTAAGTGATTTACAGTATGTTGATTCTTGCAGAAAGTTCTGTGAGATAAACATCTGTGTTTAATAGGACTTCAGGAGAGGGAAACGACGAGAATCAAACAGAAATTTCAAGTTTTTTTTAAATTGCTTGTCCAAAAAAACCCACTAGTGTTTGTTTTTATTGATAAGCATTCATATATGTACTTATTGGCAAATTATTTGGGCACAAGGGTGGGGGCGTAAGAATGAGGAGTCTTGACGACAAAAGTGGAAAAGGGGAAGGGTGTAAGTATAAATGCATAGTGCAAAAGTGAATAAAGTTATTTTTAAAAAGATATCTCAATTACGGAAGTGAGTACTGCGATAGAAAAAAATTGAAATGTCTAGAGAGAAAAATATTTACAGTAAAAAGTCTGAACTTTGTTTACTAGTAAATAGACTGAAAATGAAGAAAAACATTATAGTGGTCGTCATGTTTACCTGCTTTCCGTCTGTGTCTTTTAGATCTTTCCTGGGTTCTCTAGAGAACATACACAGAAATAATTACTAGAACGAAAATTAAAATCATAGATTCAAGATACTAAGTAAAATGTCTGATGAAATAAACAAATACATACCCTCATCATTTTTAAACCTGAGTCAGTTGACACAATTTTCTTCCAGAATTGTGTTATTTATCCATTCTTAATACACTATATAAATCAACAGATGTACTACTGTATTTCTATTACATTTTCAAACATAATTTTCGATGCAAATTTTTCTATTCGATAGGTGTGTGTCTTTTGTTTACACTAGATACAAATCAAAAACCTGTCCGTTGTAATTTAAATATCCATTAACCAACTGTAAAGTTTGTAATTAATAGAAGAGACAGATTAAACAAAGTTATCATTTGGTCATAATCTATTACACTACTGTCTTAATAAAACAGTGTTAAATACCCAACTTAAGTTTGATCAGAGCACATAAAATGTCCTAAAATTCAGTGAGGCGGATCTATTTATACCTCAATCCTGGTAGGCCAAAAGAACTGAGGGTTTTACACACATACACATATGTTGCAATATTTAAAAAAACAATTTGAAGTTAAAAATATGCAGCCAACATTAAAAAATGCTGATAATTCTGGCATTACTCTACATTCAAACAATTTTAAATGAGATATGAAAAAAAAGAAAAAAAAGAACTGTGAAAATTTTTAATAATTCTTTAAGCAATGCAAGCTATAGACAGGGAGAAAACTCTAAACTCCTTGCAACACCAGACGTACTATAATGTGCCAAAAAGACACAGGTTCCCTTTTAGACTACTTAAAATCATTGTGAGTTCTTTATATCAATAATGTGAACGAAGTAATCCGTTGTCAAAATTATAATTTAAAAATAATGCCTAGTAATGGCTTGAAACACCTCTTAAAAACGAGTTCCAAAAATAAGTTGTGTCTGCTAAAAAGGTCATTATAAAAACAACAGAATACACGTAATATTTACTTTAATGACGTTATTGAAAGATCTTTATCATCAATTTATCCATCGATATCACAGCTTACTTGTTTAGCGAGTCAGCCATGACACATAAACACTTTCAAGTATATATGACTTTATTTTAATAAAACAAATTTAAGAACTTATAAGGCCCAATATTAAAGGAACTATTTCTTGAATATTTACATGTAGGTGTGAGATAATTCCAAAAATATTTTCTACTAACAATTTTAAAGAGATATTTTTTTTTCTTTATTACAAATATGAATTAAATGAATTTTCTACTGGATGCTAATAACATATATTATTGGTAGATTTGATTTACATCGTAAATATTTTTTGTCAATTTAGAAAATCTTCAGTCTTTTATCGTTTGAGTCAAATTTTTTTCAACCTTCCTGAACTACTTGTCTAAATTTTATGAAATATATATAATCAAAATTAAGCTATTCAACATATGGAGGTAACGAATAGTATTCAAGATCAAAAGACCATAAAACAATACAAAATAGGAGCAGAGCAAACACGGAACTCCAAAACATCAGAGGTGTGATTAGGTGCCATGGAGGAGTGAGCACCCCCCTGCCGACCGGACACATCCGCGATGTACTCCTTGTCATAATCGGGAATAAGGAAAAAATCAATCGTCATTTCAGTGGATAAATAATGGACTAACAATAAATATGAAAAACGTCAGTCGCATTTGACTCAATGATAAATTGTATTTGCTAACGAGGTCATATATCGACCATAGAACGATGACTTTAAACGAAACTGCTGATATTCTTACTTCCTCAACTTGTTTGTCAATAATTTACCTCGTTTCAGAGATTGTTCATACATAGAGCATGCTCTTTTGTGTTGAATCAACTGAGATGTATAAACGCCGTATGCAGGTGATGGATGAAGGTATATTACTGCATGAGTAAGGGAAGTTGACGATAGAACACTTAAATTCATCACGTCTATCATTGAATTTGGTTGTTAGATTACCATTAAATTAAATTTTTTTTTCAAGTAAAATATTAAAAAATGAAACAGATATGTCAGACTCTGTGGTATCTTTTATCTCAACCTCACCAGGATATATCGTATCGTCATAAAAACGGAAATCATCATTGTTAATTGACAATACAAGGTCGATATAGTTATATGTCGAGTTGAAAACAATAGCAAGTGTTTTCATCTTTTCACACATATGATTTTGCACAAATTATGCTTCATATGAATACGAAAAAAAGGGCTGCTAAATACGGAGTGCAATTAGTATCCAAGGGAATTTCAATCGATTGTTGGAAGACCTGGTCTCCAAAAACGACGTAGATATTGTCGATCAGATCTAGAATCTGAAGCATCTTTTTAATGTCAACTTCAGAGTACGTGTGTGTACAATCAGAGTGTTTTTTAAAATAAATTTTGCAAATGACCAATGACAAGGTACGTAAATTTACGAGTTCCATTTTGATTGAAAATGCAGCTGGCAATGATATCAAAAAGCCTGGACTTTAATTTACCGTGAGGAATGGTTGTATATAAAGTTGAAAAGTCGTAAGTTCTCAAGCTGTTGATTTTGGTAAAATCTTGTGATTTCAAATTGTCCAAAAGTTCCTTGGAATTTTTCAGTATCCATATCTGATTTACACGAATTCTTGACTATATTGTTGCACAGTACTCTTAAAATCTGAAAACCTCACAATCAATTGTAGCAGCAGACCCTTTTTATATGGTATTCTGAAAAGTACACGAATAGATGTAATGGAGAGGGAAAAGGAATAAGACATAAAAATTAAGTGGTTTGATGTGATAAGGAAATGTAGAGATAAAAAGTTTGAATTGCAGTGTCATACTTATAACTATTCATCTTTGTGGGATATATTGATTTTAAATTTATTCATAAACACCATTCATGCTCTGTATCAAGAAATTTGTCTGTTGAAAAGAGATTATTGGGCTTACTTTGATCTCAGTCTTAATTTAGGAAGGTATGTATAGAAGAAAAGTGAGACTGATCTCAAAATTGAACCCTCCGAAGTTTTTCTTTTTGGCCTAGAATCCTGGTTATGCTGCCCTGGTGGTTGGAACGATCCTCCCATATCGCACGTATGCAACAAGTCATCAATGTGTCTACTACGTCATCATCATGTACTTTAAACTCTAATAGAATTAATATTATCATTACAATTGAAGTTAATCTGGTTAAATATTCTTTGAAATAACAAAATAAAAATCAATTTTCACGAAGCAAATTTACTTTTAGGTATTGATTGTGTAATGAGGGGATATGGGACAAGTGTGCATCATTTTAAACTAGTTAAACGTTTATCGTTGAATAACGATGAAAGTAAAATGATCTTATGCACTTGACTTAAGCCAAATGAGAACCCAGCCATTTTGCACTTAAAACTTATTTGAAGAGTTGTCTACCCTTAATGAAAATAAGAAATATTTTATCATGTCAAAATATCTGTGGTTAATTCATTTCCTTCATATTTCAAGAAAGAGGGAGTCTATGGATATTTCCACCACGATATTAGTACAAATTCATGAATACTCATAGCAATATATTATTTATTATTATGCTTCCTGTCAGTTTGTCTCTATATAACCCATACCCTACTATTTTCGCATAGTGGTCTAAGGATTTATATAGCGTAAGCATACTATGCCGAAATAGTGCACGGCTTTATTTACCGAATAAAATTCTTCCATGCACATGCCGGGGATCGAACTGACGACCATGAGATTGTCAGTCCGATGCCTTATCGATTACGCCATAGAGACGATCACTGATTGGTATAATTTTATGAAATATATAAACTTAATTTATACAATTGACACAAGAAGGAGAAAATAGACAAATATTATTTGAAAACAGTTATATTATTCTAAGGAACTTTAGATTAATGTGTACAACAAACTTTCAAACTAATTACATACAGATCGTTAGATGAACTGATTTTATAGGGTCATTAAAACGCTTTTTTATATGACGCTTGATTGAAGGATGTAAAAGAAAATTATCAATGAGAATCGACGTCTGCAAACAAATAAGGCTTACGAACAAAACAGAAAATAAAGATGTGTTGTTGCTTTGGGACAGAAAATCCCGACTTATTTAGAGAAAATACTAGTAACCAAAATAACTAAGCATGCAAACAATTTTAGCATGAATATTTTAAATTAGTTCTTGCAGGTGCGCTGTTTAAGCACCGATATTTTCAGGAAAAAGTCAAATAGATTGCCGCATAAATAATTAACAGTCAGCATAATAATAACAATAGTGTTGCATTATGCATGTACTATGCCTAAATAGTAGGCAGGGTTTGACACATAGTGCACTCGCCTCCGGCTCGTGCACCATGTGTCAAACCCTGCCTACTATTTAGGCATAGTACATGCATAATGCAACACTATTATATAAATAACACATGTGTTGTCCATATAATTTAAAGTAGAATTTTGTGTTCAATTAATTACATAATTATCAAAAGAAAATTTGCACTAATTGCCTCTTAACATGTATATATAACTGTTACGTTGTATTTTTCATGTGTTAATACCATCAACTAGTTAAAGTTTATGAGACTAACGGTTTATGCAACTAAACGTAAAATACTAAAATATTAAGCTTGCAAGATAAAGGAACCTTTCAAATAATTATTCTGGTAATTTGTTCAACTGCAATTACTATGTACATGTACTATGTACTATGTATTTAACATAACCTCGCTTTATATTTTTATAAGGATATTTTATGAAGTTTAGGATGCCAGAAAATAGGTATGATTATTCAAATTCATTTTGATCATTGGAATTATTACAAATATCTAAAACTGACGTGTGAAATTGAAGAATTTCTTGCAAATGCCATTTGCTTAACCGTAAACTTGGCGATTAAAACGATTTGGAGTAAACATTATCACAGATTTGAGCAATATTCTGGAGTCAAAGAATCTAAACATGGACTTTCCTTGATTTTTTTTCAAATAGGCTATTAAAAATTCAAATGGATAGAGTTTGGTGCGAATGTGATAAAGATCTAACTATATATATATATACACTGAACCAAACTTCTAAGTGTTCACCTAACATTTTTGAAGTTTTAAAGGACAAATGCAAACAATAAATAATTTCTCTAATTCTTGGTTAATGATGCATATTTAAGTTCGATGTTGCGTAAATTTTGTGTAAGTATCTCGTCAGAATTTTAAGCAGAGTGTCAAAGAAATGATGTACCCCCAAAATGAAAATTCACACCAAAAAAATCTCGATGGAGTAAGACCACTACTCGCTCGAATTACCACAAGACAATCTTTATTGTTGGATACCATGTACCCCTGAATAGGAGATTGACCACACCTACATGTACTGCATAGATCTTTCCAAACCATTGAAATTGTGTGGAAAAAGGGGGGGGGGGGCTTTGACATTTCTTTTAAAATTCCAAATGTGTTCAATGGGATTCAGATCCGGGAATTTGACAGTGTATCGTCACACAAATGCCTTTTGGTCAATATCCTTGGGTGTTTAGCACGTAAGTGCGCCGCTTTTAGGATAATTCAGACTGCTTGAGCTGATATAAGACTGCCACAAGCACCAATTTCTTATCATTTTCGTACGATTGAAATGGTATGTTTCCATGTTTTTAAGATTTTTTCAGGACACTTTAACACCTTTTTAACCTGAAGTGACGCGAAATTTTCTCCTCAAAAGAAGATCAAGGTCACTTCGGGTTTGGTTCAATTTTGTCAAAAACTTTCAAATTGATGCTGAAAAATGAGCACAGCCTATAGAAAAATGTGTTTAAATGGGTTTCGATACTGTTTCATAATTTTTAAAAGTAATATCAAGTACAAGTAAGCACTAAAATAAAAGTGAGTAAAACGTGGTGCAAAGATGTTCCAGATATGAACATTCCAACGGCTCTCCCTTCTATCTCACTGGTCATTTTGCCAATGTTTTGTGTTTTTTAGTAAAACCATTTTTTAAAATTTGATAATGATCACAAAACGATGCTTATTACACAAAACACGTGCCGCACGGTACAGAATTACTGTTTTTAAGCTTCGTCACGGAACATTGGTTTTCATCGCGGTGATATTTGATTTTCTTTCAACAATTGTTGAGAAGACTCATTTGTTGTAATAATTTGAAAATATCATACCATTCTATAAAGTAGTCTTTAAATAAATACTGTTATTAAGTACGGCTCCGTGTAAAAATCATGCAGAGGGTGATTCATGGGGGGTTTCAGAATTTCTTCAAACTTTGCATGTTGGTAGAGTATGCTAAGATACTCCAAAAAAAATTATAATTTTTTTTTTTATTCTGCCATTGGTATCCATGGCAACCAATAAACTGTTTTGGGCAAAAAATGGCTGAAATTTCCTCTAAAAACAGGCAAAAATACCAATAATGAAGATTAAATGAAAAGAAAACTAAACAATAAAACAAATTTATGTTTATTTCTTATTAATATACAGCATACGTAGTTACTATCCATATCTAGTCAAAATGTTTTTATGACCAGTAATGTGTTCTAATTTTAAGCTAAAAAGGGGAGATAATCCATATTGGCAAAAAATGTAAAATATCCATTTTTTAGGATTTTTATCTATCAAAAATTTCTAAAAACCCCACAGCCAAACTAAAAAGCCATGCTAGTTTCATAGAGACTATAGTCTAAAGTAAATAAAATTATTAAAAGATTTTTGTGCAAATGATTATTAATTTTCCAAAACAACTGATGAATTTAGTACAAAAATGGTAATTTCTCTTTTTTTGTCACAGTCCAATAAATGCTATATATGTTTGCATGTAAAAAATAAATAGCATTTCAAAACCATTTTTTTATATTTCCATTTTGAAATACAATTAAATTATTTACTTTTCATAATTAATCCAAATATTACCACGTCCAGTAATAGTTTTTAATTTTAAGCTGAAAAGGGGAGATAATCCATGTCGAGAAAAACTGAAATTTTCAATTTTAAAAGGAATTACAGATAAATTCAGCTATATGATAAAAAATTTAAAGAAAAAATACACTACAGCCAAACAGAAAGGCAGTATTTATTTCCTAGACACCATACCTTATGGCAAATAAAATATTAAAAACATTTTTGTGCAATTGATTATTAATTTCCAAAAGCCATTGAAGAGTTTTATACAAAAAATGGGAAATTCACTTTTTCATCATGGTCAAATAAATGTCAAGTATATATTTAATATGCATGTTAAATTATAAATAGCATTTCAAAACAATTTTTATAGTTCCAAATCCAAATACAACACAATTATTTATTTTAAATAATCAAATTATATCTATATCTACAGTATTATTTCTAATTTCAAGCCGAAAGGGGGAGATCATGTTGACAAAAAACAACAAAATATCATTTTTTGAGGATTTCAGTTATCAAGAAAATAAAATATATCTATGATTTAAAAAATAGCCAAAAAGGCTGAGTAGTTTTCATAGATACCATACCCTATGGAAAATTAAAAAAAATCATGTGCACAAATATCATTGTGATTAATAATTTCACCAAAAAAGAAGCAGCATCATCTTTTGTCAGAGTCCAATAAATACACCATGTACATACGCCAGTACATGTTTACATGTAAGAATATCAGTTTACATTTTAATATAAATTCCTTTACATTTCCAAATCCAAATACAACACAAATTATTTTTTTCATTAATGAACAGTAAAATGTAACAAGAGACCCATGGGCCTTATAGGTCACCTGAGCATTATGCAACAACTTTCCAGTCACTGAATTTGATTCATGTTTAAAGCCAGATGCTATAGCATTCACAATTTTGAAAGAGGCACCATTGATCATTATAACAATACATTTAGCAGTTGTTAGTTTGGTTACTTAATACCCAAAGGCAGGGTAGGGGAGCAAAATATGCATGTCAACTAATCAGTAGTGCCCCTTTCACACATGAACCCCTGACCCTTAGGCCTAGATCCACATATTGCACAATTTTTAAAAAGGCATCCTTGCTTTTCAAAAATATTTGATTAATACCAAGGAGCAGATTTCAAACAATACATTCATTTTCACTATATAAATACACCCCCCCCCCCCCGTCCATGGTACCCCTGACCCAGGGGCCTTAAAATTCACAATTCTGGAAGATTAGGACCCTTGCTCATTATAACTATATAGGTATGTTCACCTGCGTAATACCTAGGAGTAGAAAGGAAAATTTTCAAAGAATTCATGTATTTTCACTACAATATCAATAGAGCCCCGCCCAAAAACCAGAGACCCGACCCTGGCGCCATAAAATTCACAATTTTGGAAGAGGCATTCTTGTTCATCATTACTATATACTTAGTTAGTTTATTTAATACCTGGGAGCAGAGAAAAAAATTCAAAGAATCCAAGTATTTTCATTATATAATCAATAGAGCCTCGCCTGGGGCCATTAAATTCACAGTTTTGGTAGAGGCACTCTTGCTCATTATAACTATGCAATTAGTTGGTTTATTTAATACCCAGGAGCAGAGAAAAAGATTTTCAAAGAAATAATGCATTTTTACTATATACTTATTTAGCCCCGCCCTAGCACTAGAACCCTTGACCCAAGGGCCATGAATTTCACAATTTTGGTAAAGGACTCAATGCTGATTACAATCATGCTAACAGTTTGACTGCTTGATGTCCAGGAGTAAAGAAGAAGATTTTCAAAGATTGCACTAATTTTAGTGGTTTTGACCCCACCCCTCAGGCCCCAGGGGGGCAGGGATCATGAAATTCACAATTTTTGTCCCCCTTCACCTATAGATGCTTTGTGCCAAATTTGGTTGAAATTGGTTCAGTGGTTGCAGAGAAGAAGCTGAAAATGTTCAAATGTTAACGGACGACGACGGACGAAAACAGATAGCAATAGGTCACCTGAGTTTACTCAGGTCAAGGTGACCTAAAAAAACATTTGAAAATATTAATCATATTAATATTGATTACTAGATACATTTATCATATAATCATTGTATATGTTAACACAATTTTAAAGTTTTACATCTTTGTAAGGTGCAGTCATGCCGCTCAGAATATTACTAATCTCCACTGCTTCTCTTCTGTAGTAAGTGACTGTCCTTTGTTTATTAGCCTCTTCTAAAAGCACTTAAGATCCTTTGGAAAAGAATTTCTGCCTGATTAACATTATCCAAAGTACCGTCATGGAATCCACTGAACTCTAATCTCTACTTTTTGACAGCTTTAAATATCTTATTTTCCATTATTCCTAAAATAATAATTACAATATACATGTACATGAACTTATCATTCATCAATTTAGAATTCTTTAGTTTATGCTACATTATTATTAAGGTACTAAATGGTTATTTTGATTTTATAAATTACTTTACATGGAATATCAAGTTTATATAATGCAGTAATTTCATTAAAAATCTAAAATAGTTGCATGACAGATATTCTCCCACCTTTGGAGTCTTATTAGTTGGTGGTGTTCAATGATGTTTTCTTGCTGTCTGTAATAAATAGTGTAACCTTTTCCTTCAAAACCATGATGCAGCCCATCGCATACATTCTGTGAAAATAAAATGGAGTTTAATTCATCTAAAAAACAATAATACTAATTTATGAAATACAGTAAAACAAAGTTATAACAAAGTCACCAGTACCTATGAAATTACTTTGCTATATCAATTACTCGTTATATCCATATAAGGAATTTGTTAAATTTATATAGCTGGGGATCTAAAATAACTTCACTATATCCATGAATTTGCTATATCTGTATTCGTAGTAAACAAGTTTTGCTGTATGTGAAATATCTTTTCTACTAGTGTATTTTTTCATCATTTGCAATATGTTCTCCAGTTTTAACTTTAGTACAAATGTACAATTTATTGAATTTAAACAGAATCTACATTACTTGAGGCTTCTTCCAATGACTTCTATATCAGTACAATATATCATGATCAATGTTCTAGGGAAGATTCTCCCCTATATGTTGCAATGTGAAACTTTGATCCCCATTGTGGCCCCATCCTACCCAAAGGGGGTTTAACTTTACACTACATCACCAGAGAATGCTTCCTTATCATCATCTTCATGTTCTTGAGAAGATTTTAAAAGATTGTTACTTAAACCATTCCAAGTTTTCTATCTATTTTTTAAGATCCATGTGCACCTTTGTTTTGAATCCCAATGAGAAAAGCCCTTTATTTTTCATTCAAAAGTCATGACCAAGGTCAAGTTTTTGAAAAGTTTTTCATTTTCAGTTGGGTGTCAAATCTGTAATCTGTTGCAAATCTGTTTGCCTGTGACAAAATTTGTGCATCTCAGGCAGTTGAGCAACAGTTATTTCAAACACTGCCTTAACCATACCATCATACTTATTCATGCCTCATCGCACATAGGGGAGTGTACAGTAACTTAAACAGGTCTAGACGACAAGATTATCTGATGACACATCAGCTTAAATTTGCATGTAAATTGGCTATCAGTTTTTACATAGTTTTAGACAGCAACACAAGGTGCACAATTATCATTTAACTCCTCAATCAAATATCAAAAGTAAGACATACAAATGTCACAAGGTTTGTACGGTACGTATTGGAAGCAACTACAGTGGTACCTCATTTATCCGGACGCTTTGGTTCCTAGTCAAATTTCCAGATATGTGAAGTGTCCGGATACCTGAATTACCAGTTAAATAAGACAAAATAATGTTAAAAATTTTCGTTCCAATGAAAAATCGTCCGAATACTAAAGCATTCGGATATATTGCATCCAGATATCTGAAAGTTCACTGTATTTATCATCTAAAACTACAATTTTAAATGTGAGCATCGAGCAGTGTCTTTGGAAACTAATCTTTCAATTTTGGCTGTATAAAGTAAAAAAGAAACTCTATTGTTTTTGGTGATGAAGTTAATAAAGTACAGTAAATCGACAAAAACCGTGTGTCGCTTCTGATTTGTATTAACAAATAGTAGACTGTCATGCTTGGGGACTCATTCAATTAATTGTAGAATGCTAGAGTAGAGACAAAAACATTGTGTTGAAAATTACCTTCCATTAACGGTAGTGTACCCGAGCTCTTAAGAAAATGGAAATTCGTCTTTTGCTTAAAAGTATTCAACAGCTGCAATACTACAAGTATCTATGATTTTTCCTTTCTATTAAAGACTCATAATACATTGTCATATAGGACTTGTAAAATACTTTTGACTGCATATAAAAAGCTTTACCAAGCTATTTTGAATAGATTAATAGCGAGTGCAGCAAGGGTCGCAAAGTGATGCACGTAACTGCGAGCTCTGATGAAAACGCCTGGGCAAAGAGAAAATTCAGACTACTGCACATTCATTCCTAAGAATTTTTTACCGCAGTAATTTAGACCCACAATGCATCGCTTCATACACAAACTCTAAAGCAACATTCTCGCGAGAATAACAACAAAAGTTAAACGAATAATAAACTTGTCTTGATTTAATGATTTTATCTGTTTATTGCAGAAAGATATTCATAAACTGATTGAAATCAGCCTTGTTCAGGCTTCGGTTTTGGTAAAGCAACATACAAACGACGTCATATGACGTCAGAATCTAATACGCACCGAATGTCACGTGCGGATTTACATGTCAAATCTAAATGAAAATGGATAAGTATAGCGCTCGACCTAACGGTCGCACTGTCAACATATAAAAGCTACATAGCTATTTCAAGCTACAGAATTAATTATCTTAATCAAGAAATTGTTCTGCAGTGTTCTGGACCTGATCTTACCTGGTCAAATGTAACTGTCCAAATGTACATTATCTTCCCTCTCCAAGTCGAGTAAGCTGACAAAATCGGACTGCCACCCCTCTCTGAGAGTTTACTCTTGGACTCTGGTGGATTACCGTAGAAATTAAACTTCTGAGATAGATCACAACGGTGTCAGTAGGCGAGTACCATTTCGGGAGAACGTCAACAAGGTCAATATACTAATCAACACGACATATAGCTATACTTTTGCCCGCAAAACTATGCCTAATCTGTTCTTGTAGAATCCTTTCAACCAATTTATGTCACTTCACACATATTTTTGCAATAAACATCACAGGATGCATCAAAACAACTTTGCAGCGTACAGCTGCGTACAGCTAGCCATGGAGGCTGCCATTTATTTTTACTAGCGCCACCTATGTAAAATTGCAAAGGGAGATAACTCATTTGAAGAATCTTGACAAATTCTCGATTTTAAACACCTTGTATCTTTTCAATACTTCGTTTGCACAAAAATATTAAAGTAAATTTTTATTAAGCCTTCCATGTTCACTTGAATTATGTATTAAGTTTTTGTACTTCTTCTAGGGTTTTAAAGATATTCTTTTCTGAAATAGGCATTATTGGCACACTATCTATACAAAATTACACCTCAAGTACTTTATCCCTGGCTATATGAAAAAAGAAGAATTATAATAAAATCAACTGTTTATATTCAATTTAGACCCAAATGAATATATTAAACCCAATTTTATTGAATTTGAAGATGGTCGATGAATCACCTTTTCTGTACTGTCTGCATGATTTTTACACGGAGCCGTACTTAAAGTGAACACTTAGAAGTTTTGTTAAGTGTATATATACATTGAGGTATCAGTGAAAAGGGAGACGTCGTTTATAGAAGATTTATTGTAAGGTTGACGTTAATGACTACGCTTATGTCTCATTGTTTAAAAGTCCCATCACATTCACATAACTTCACTGTGGACTGAACAGATTCCCAACACTATCGACATTGTGATTGCATTTACATGTACTTGGCCAGGCCGTGCCTAGTTTCAAACCTTATATTCTTGTTGCCTACGGAAAAGTGTTCTCAGTGATGGGCTATCAGTATAATACCATATCCTAAAATTAAAGTGTTTATATAGAAGCCACTAGTCCCCATTGCTTATTTAAAGCACATGCCGAAAAAACTTTAAAAGTGAACCCTTGGTTATCCACAAAGATTACAATCTTTTCCGTTGACATCTTACAAGAATTGCCGTTAAGATAATCCCAAGTTCTGGTATGGAATTCAAAACTCTGTTCAAATGTATCTCCATTAGAAACTTCACATTCTCTCAAAGTTTTTTGTATGAACTGTTGGTTTTAGAACACTAAACAAAAACTGAAAATTCTGAAGACGGCATATAATATGAGAAATGTTTAAAATTCATCCATGAGAGTTACCTTATGAGTCTTTATCATTATTTTCTGATGACTTGCCATAAATTTACGTCATTCAACTGTCATTTTTAAAGCAAAACAGTGTGCACTATATTTTTGACATCAAGTGCCGTATTATGACGTAACAATGGAGATATGCTTATTTCAATGTGGTACATACGTAATGTAGTTCATGAGAAAATAAACTGCATTTTTTTTTTGTAAAGAATCATAGGGGAAATTTATTGAAAATGTAAAAGCACATTTATATTTTATAAATAATTTTATGGCACATCTTTGTAGTAAAAGGGGGATAACTCTAACATTACACTTCACAGAAATGTAGATTGGCTAACTTGGTATGAATTGACGCATTGCGCGCACCTCCGGATATACGTCATAAAAACCTTCCCAAGCAAGGGCTCCATGCAGAATCCACATGTACTTTTGACTTCATTTTACAAAAAAGTGAACGGTATGTAAGTCAGTCAGTGTTATACGTTATTGCAGACCGAGTTTCGTGTGGAAATTGTTATAAACAGTATTATATACGAAAATTCATTCTAAATCTTTGAAGTCTCATATTGATTTTCCCCCGCACCGCGCGGGCTCAGCAACAATTTGAGCATGGAGCCATGTTGGCAGTGGAATGGCGCGCAGGTGTGACTACTTGTAAATTAAGATATTAATTAGTGAAATATTGAAACAGAGGGACACGCCATTTAACAACGGACCACATCGAAACTGACATTTGCGGCGTCAGCGACCAGTTGCTCATATAACGTTAGTGAGATAATTTGGGCCTCGTATCAGTCAGAGAGGTCAAGGTCATTCACGAAATTAAGACAATGACACGCGTGTTGATTTTGGGGAGTTCCCATACGAATCGTCTGAAACAATTTATAGACAGGAATCCCCAGTTAAATAATTTTGCATTGGGAAACGATCCCATTGTAAATTTTTATGGTATCGGTGGAGGCCGCATTAATGACTCAGCTCACTGCCAGCGATGGGAACAGCAATATATCAAGGTGGCTACCACACCATCTTATCTTTCACGCCGGTGGAAATGATATGGATGACAGAGTGTTCCGAGAAACTAGCTAATGAAATAGCATTGCGCTTAATCGCTTTCCTAGATAGTGTTAAATGTAAATTCGACATTAAGAGTGTCACAATTATGCAGTTGTTGCCCCGCTATCATACCCGGAATGTATCAGTAGCAATTTACAATGATACTGTCAGAATATTTAATGCTTTTTTAAAGAAAGAAATCCAGGATGGGGGTTCCTTGCGCTACTGGAACATTCAGGGAGTTAAGAATAGTCCACATAATGTATACATTGATGGTGTCCATTTTAATGATGAAGGCAACAATAAGTATTACAGGAACATGCGGGGGGGCAATCATACAAGCGATAAGAATCTAATTGATATATATATATGTTTCTAGATTATGATGATTTTTTCTGTCTGTGTTGGTCTAAGTGTAGATATACATGCATATTTTCAAAATTTTTACTATTTCAGGTCACAAGCTCTGAAAGTCTATGACTTGGCATTTACAGTAATTTACAGGGGGGATCAACACCTAATTGCCAGCAATTATTAGATATATCACGTAAGCATCAAAATCAAAATCTTTTGAGTAAAAGTGTAATCAGTTTGAATAAAGCTGCAGTACACTGGTATTGCCCTACATTGTAACAGTGCATTATAATTCCCCTACATTGTAACTGTGCATTATTACGAAACTGTACTTATACAATATTTTACACTTGTACAATTAAACAAACAGTATATGACATGTTACTACTCTGCTATTTAATGATGCAGTACACTGGTACATGTTTTTAGTGCACTGGTACTAACTATGTGTGAACTGTACACTAGTACAGGAACTCTTAGTACACTGGTACTAACTACTCTGCTATGCAAGTACTGTACACTAGTACGGGGACTCATTTAGTACACTGGTACTAACTACTCTGCTATGCAAGTACTGTACACTAGTACAGGGACTAATTTAGTACACTGGTACTTACTACTCCGCTATGCGAGTACTGCATATTAGTACATGCTATCCTTGATTCCCAGCCCGGTAACTGTACACTAAATGACCCATACAAATAATGATATATTACATTAGTAAAATTAATGATCAAACATAGCATTTCACACTAGATGAGTTACACCCCTTTTATTTCTAGGATATGGCAGAGCCACCAAGAAAGTCGAGGCGTTTAGCAAGTAAACGACCGGCACCACATAACATTTCAAGTCCAAGTAATCACACTCAAACCATACAAGCTGTGGTTGAAGATCCGGGGGTACAATTCCATAATCAAGTCCAACAGCAAATAAGGGCCGCCATTCCAGACATAACTAACTCAGTAATCGCAGCACTTAAGGCCCAAGGAGTCATTCCCATGCCTCAACTAGTACAACAATCTGAAACTCCCCCAATACCTTCAACATCAGTGGAAGTCAGTCCACAACAAACACCTGTAACATCAGCTTCCTCTGATTTAAGCACAGAGACAGTAGTAACTTGTTCCACGGCTGGTTCGACCCAGAACTCCAACATGAATGACAGTTTAACACAATTTTTGAACACAGGTAATAATAATGCACAACTTGATCAGCAGTCTGTAGAATTGGAAACAACTGCTTCATGTATAAATTTTTCAAGTCCGAGTATTTCAAAACCGCTGGCATTGGGGGTTGATCCCAAAATTAAAGCGAAGATTTGGGCAAACGAATATATTGATCTAGGGAGTTTATTAAACAAAAAATTTCCTAAGGTACGTTTTCAGGTCATTGAATCCCAACAGGGGGGGATAAGTTGGGAGAAACAACCACCTCCAAAATATCGTTTTGAGTCTGTGGCACACTGGCTGTCTGCCTTCCATATATTTGTTAGTATTTATTGTGAAAAGTACCCAGACCAAGCTTGCGCCTTAATGAAATATGCAAATACAATTCAAACATTAGCAAGAAGGTCAGGTGATATTGCAGCTTTTAATTATGACCGTACCTTTCGGGAATGGCGCGAGCATGATTGGAAAAAATTACCCTGGGATCAGGTAAACAATGAACTATACACAGAATCTGTGTCCTTGGGGATTACAGCTAAATTCAATTCCCTGAAGGGTACCGGCCAAAGCCAAAACAAGTCAAGTCTTAGTCGGGGGCCGCCCTTTCTCTCTGCTGGAGTTCCATTGCGGAACTCCAGGAGAGGGCTCTATTGCTACAGTTACAACAACAATGGCGAGTGTGAGCGAGGGCCAGACTGTAGATACCCCCATGTCTGTGAAAAATGTGGAGGTATGCACAGCAAGAAAGAATGTAAAACCCAGTCTCACAAAAGAAAAAGGTCAGATGCAGGGTCAAACCTTGACCAAAAAAGGCCAAGTGGATCGAAGAGCACTCCCACAAAATAGTGTCATTACTCCAATCAGTGTTTTAAAATTTAGTAAATGGCTGGATGGGTATGATAAGCAAAACAAACAATTTCTGATTAATCGGTTTAGGCAAGGTTTTGTTATACCTTACAAGGGGGAAAGAAAGTACAGATTCAGTAAAAATCTACAGTCTGCAGTAGAACACCCAGAAATTTTGATAGAAAAAATTTCAAAAGAGGTCGAAGCAGGACGGGTCGCTGGACCTTTTGTTAAAGTTCCTTTCCCTAATTTACAAGTCTCCCCATTAGGTTTGGTGCCTAAAAAAGTTCCCGGGGAATTTAGGGTCATTCATCATCTCTCTTATCCTAATGATAAATCAATCAATGATGGAATCCCAGATGAGTTATGCACAGTTCAGTATCAGACAGTAGATGATGCCATTAAGTTGGTCAAGTTTTATGGGAAAGGTTGCTTATTGTCTAAGACAGATATAGAAAATAGTTATAAAATCATCCCCATACACCCCAGTTGTCACGACTTGCTAGGTTTTGCAATAAATGGTGAATTTTACTATGACAAAACATTACCCATGGGCTTAAGCTACTCATGTAGGTTGTTTGAAACATTTAATAGTTCCTTACACTGGATTGTAAACAATAAGATGAGAAGTGGAGGGTGTGTTCATATCTTAGATGATTTTCTTTTTGTGGGACCAGCTGGTTCTCAGTTATGTAAGCAGACATTATCACAGTTTTTAAATATGGCTAAAGAAATAGGTTTGCCTATTAAAAAAGAGAAGACAATTCAACCAACTACTACCATTACATTTTTGGGGCTGGAATTTGACTCGGAGATGATGGAAGTTAGGCTACCTAATGATAAGCTTATAAAATTACGAGAAAGGCTAGAATATTTCAAAAGCAGAAGAAAAGTTACACTAGAAGAAATTCAGTCATTAGTAGGGCTCTTGAATTTTGCTTGCCAAGTGGTATCTCCAGGTCGGGCTTTTTGGAGACGAATTATTGACTTAACAGTAGGGTTAAAGAAACCTAATCATTATCGTAGGCTCACAAATGAAGCAAGAGCAGATATTAACGCCTGGTATATATTTGCAGAAAGTTTCAATGGTAAAAGTTTCTTTCTGTCGGACAAGTGGGAATCTTCTCAGGAGCTTAATCTATATACTGATGCTAGCAACTTGGGCTTTGGGGGCATTTTTGGAACAAGGTGGTTTTATAGTAAATGGAATGATGAGTGGTTAAATTATCACATCACAATTCGGGAATTATTCCCAGTCGTTGTTGCATTGGAATTGTGGGGCCATGAGCTGAGGGACAAATGTGTAATTTTCCACTGTGACAATATAGCAGTAGTCCATATAATTAATAAACAAACATCCAAAGATAAAACCATTATGAAATTGGTCAGAAAATTTGTTCTACACATTTTGAAATATAATATTTTGTTTAAAGCATGTCATATTGCGGGGAAAGTAAACGTTGCAGCTGACCATCTTTCTCGTTTGCAGATCAAACAATTCAAGACAGAATTCCCTCATAAGGACCCTCGGCCAGTTGTAGAGTTAGTGGAAATGCAGATTCTTTTAAAAAAAATGGCATCATGGTTACTTACAGAATCTCTAGAAAAAACATCTCGGCAATCTTACAGACGCATTTATTATTTCTATAAACAATTTTTGCAGGAGTACTTTCCCAGTACTCCAGTTTCCCCAGCTACCCTTGAACATGTCACTATGTTTATTGCACATTGTTTTCAAAAAGAGTTAGCCACATCCACAGTATTAACATATGTATCTGCTATCAGCTATTTACTGAAGTTGGGGGGATATAATGATGTGACCCAACACTTCATAGTAATTAAAACACTTCGTGGATACACAAAAATTCAAAAAATTAAAGACAATCGCTTACCAATTACACCTTCGATTTTAAAGGGATTAGTAAGTTCATTACCCCATACTTGTTCATCATAGTTTGTACGAGTAATGCTACGAGCAATGTATTTAATAGCATTCCATGCCTTTTTGAGAATTGGGGAAATTACTGGTTTACCACCACCAAACGGCAACTGCTTAACTGTAAATAATGTAAAATTTGTGTATGAACAAGGTGTTCAGCCCACAGCAATGGAAATTCAAATGTCAAAGTTCAAACATAGTACAGGTAAACACATCCCAGTGCTTCTAATAACTGCAAACAAAACATCCGAAGAAATGTGTCCGGTTTTATCTTTATGGAATTACTTGAAAATTAGGGGTCAAGAAGCTTCTAAAGTACAAACCCTGTTTTCTTTTATGAATAACTCTCAAGTGTCACGTCATTTCTTTTCTGAACAGCTTCAACTATCCTTGAAATATGTTGGTTTGAGTGTAAAAGATTATAAATCACACAGTTTCAGAATAGGGGCAGCAACGACTGCATGGGCCAAGGGTTTTACTGAGGAGCAAATTCAACAAATGGGCAGGTGGAATACAAAGTCTTTTAAAAAGTACATTCGGGTTCCTATGTTACAAGTTTAATGATCTGGGGAACAAGAACTCGTGGAGAAGCGGGGTCTGTATTTCCTAAAATTGGATTTCATACTAAGGCAGGCGGCTGGTGTGCCTATTAAATATAATATCAGCTTGGGTACAAGGGTCTCAGCTGCTTCAGTCTCATGTTTGTAATTGAGGAACACTGCAAGTTTTATATCAACTTGGGGACAAGGGCCTCAGTTGGTCTATTTTAGTATATATTAAGGTTGTTCATGTTACAACACTGCAAGTTTTATATCAACTTGGGGACAAGGGCCTCAGTTGGTCTATATTAGTATGTATACTAAGGTTGTTCATGTTACAACACAGAGAGTTTCATATCAGCTTGGGGACAAGGGCCTCAGTTGGTTTATATATGCATGCTTTTCCTGATAGAATACTGTTGTTTCATATCAGCTTGGGGACAAGGGCCTCAGCTAATGTGCTCTTTACATTTATATGACATAGGTGACAGGACATTTATAGCATTTTGGGGACAAGGGCCTCAAATGTTAGGTACCGTATTTTATGCCGGAGTTGATGTAATAATTTACCATTTAATTTTCTTCAATGAATATTTTAGAGGACTGAAAATGATATACGATAATTGTAGTTGGAGTTTTTTATGTTGTGGATGGGGGATATTGTGTGTCTTTCACAAAAATCACTAGATTTGGTTTAATACACACAATATGATGGCGGTTTTTACCCCCATCTTTGATGGTTGTAGCATTTTTTCACATTATCTAATCATTTTTTAAAGTGTTTAAATTTGAAGTTGATGTGTATATGGTTGCTTTTAATTCTAATCTGTCACATATGTTATATTTGTGATCATACATTTTATCATACCCGATTATGATTATGGAAAAGTGTGATTATGATTTTGACACTTCTTGGAACTGATCTGTTATTACTGATTAGCTAGATTGACTGATTGTGATTGATTATATCAATTGATTGTGAATTTTGATTTTGAATTGTATGATTATGAATTATGGATCTGACTGATTATGATTGATTAGATTGATTGTGAGTTTTGTCTTCGTCATTTTAATAAATGACAATTTTCAATTCAATACATTCTCTATTGTTTATTCTATCAACCATCAAACAAAGCACAACATGCAGAATTGTGCCATAAAAGCACATTTATATTTTATAAATAATTTTATGGCACATCTTTGTAGTAAAAGGGGGATAACTCTAACATTACACTTCACAGAAATGTAGATTGGCTAACTTGGTATGAATTGACGCATTCCGCGCACCTCCGGATATACGTCATAAAAACCTTCCCAAGCAAGGGCTCCATGCAGAATCCACATGTACTTTTGACTTGATTTTACAAAAACCCAACCCACCCTTCCCCTTTTTTGGTATTTATTTTAATACAGATAGCCTTTTAACCAATATCAAAGGTTTATGGATAGGTTTTTCCCCCCATCTTTGATGGTTGTAGCATTTTTTCACATTATCTAATCATTTTTTAAAGTGTTTAAATTTGAAGTTGATGTTTATATGGTTGCTTTTAATTCTAATCTGTCACATATGTTATATTTGTGATCATACATTTTATCATACCCGATTATGATTATGGAAAAGTGTGATTATGATTTTGACACTTCTTGGAACTGATCTGTTATTACTGATTAGCTAGATTGACTGATTGTGATTGATTATATCAATTGATTGTGAATTTTGATTTTGAATTGTATGATTATGAATTATGGATCTGACTAATTATGATTGATTAGATTGATTGTGAGTTTTGTCTTCGTCATTTTAATAAATGACAATTTTCAATTCAATACATTCTCTATTGTTTATTCTATCAACCATCAAACAAAGCACAACATGCAGAATTGTGCCATAAATATATTTTTTAACATATTTATGTTAGATTGATTACTGTTATTTTCAACTTTTCCATTTGACTACCGTACTCTGTCAACATGATAAAGACATGCAGCTGACAACAGGTGTGACAGGTCGATATGAAAAGCCCCCCCCCTACACCTGATCACGCCTCCTACATTTTCAGGTTTCTGTGTTGATACCCAGTTTATAATTCATTTTGTTTACCTGATTAATAGATTTGATTACTAATTGTTGTCTTCATTATTTACACACCTTTTACATTCCTATCAATACATGTACATTTGTATAAGGATAAAAATCAACAGGGGGAGACATAATACAAAAATGTATGAAGGTTTAAGGTCAGACGACACGTTCCTCAAATATATATGTTTTGTATCTCTTGATATTATATTAAAAAAATCATAATTGTCATTCTCTTGTGATTTCTATTTTGTCATCAATATGATTTTAAATATATTTACACCAAACATGCGATATAGGACACTCAGAAGATTACCCATAAGGATTATATAAGAAATTCCATTTTCTTGTATCTTGTACAAATGCCTGGCAAGGTACTCTAATTTTGTGTCAGGAAACTTGTTCAAGTAGCAAAACTTTAATGATAAATTTTTGGAAAACTTGTTTTTAATTTTTGAGGAAGGTGTAGTCTTACCTTAATTTGACAATCAACAATTTTAAACTAATTAAATTGTGGTTTGGTATATACAAAAGGGAAGGACAAAATAAAACTAGTTCTTTCTTATGTTACATTTTTAATTATATGATAATTGCTATGAAGTTCAGAGATTCTAGTTTAAAGAACATTAACGTATACAATGTCTTATAATTCCAAATTATGTATTGCTGAGCAACTATGTTGAAACGGCGACCGATAGAGCAGTGTTTTCAGTTTTAGAACAAGTAACGGAAGTGTTAGAATCTCGGACGGGCAAGCAGTGTGTTCACTGTTATGACCTTTTTTATCTTCCCAGTCACTGCACTTCTATTTTGAACCTCATCATCAACAACCTCCATGATCTCTACGATATTCTTCCTGTAAACGTAATCATCTAATTAAATACGACTTTCAAACATTACTTTGTTAAAGATTCATAAGATATAAAGTAAAATTTATAATTATGTTATAAAATTTACTATTTTCCATTTATTATGAAAAGAAATACATGTATTAAGATTTTTCACGTACGAGTCATAATGTTCGCGTAGGCTCTCTAAAAGTGTCGGTAAAAATATTCCTCCAACTTTCTTTTCACCAACTTCTATTCCAAGTGTGTTTGAATAGGCAACCAGAAAATTATTATCATGGGGTTCTAGGTCACTTATGTGTGGATCTTACAAAGAGAAAGAAAAAAGATTATCTGATATTACAAACTCTCTCTCTCTCTCACAAATATTTGAAAATAATAATAATTAAACGTTTGCTATAATAATTTTACTTTTTTACCAATGCTCTCTCACCTCTTCTCGTTTTGATCTGAAGTTCAGTAGGCGGATCCCAGTCTCCTTCATCTATTATGGTCGTCATGACTAGAGTATAATTGGTATCTGTCCATAAATCTCGGAAATAGCAAGCATAGTCATATTTGGCTTCTGGAGTACGTAGAACTTCTCCTTCAATTGCGCGACTGTTCTCGTTCTGGAGACACACTTTGTAATTTAGACTTTCTGTCTCTGATGGTACAACAGCTTCATCCCAGTAAACTCGAACCTGTCGCTCAAGAGCATCTACTTGGAGATTCTGGGGACCTACATAATTTTTTGTAAACAATTATATGACTTAAAGAAGAAATTGAAATGCATTTTCTCGATAAAGAAAACACTTACCACATCGTGGTGTGTGACATTCAATGGGATCTGTTGGGTCTCCTTTAAGACCTTCTTTTTCGGCAGCTATCCAAATCGTATACACAACATCAGGAACCAGATCCTTCAAAACGTACACTTCTCTCTTCGTCCGCACTGTGCTTACTTGGGAATTCTTCGAATGGTACGAAATAGTGTACGTGTATAGCCTTCTTAGGGCAGTATTGGGGGGTTCCCAGTTTAGCTCAATTTCAAAAGGAGTTACATGCTTTGCTCGAAGTTCCTTAGGCTGATCTAATAAAAACACAGATTTTAAATACAAAGAGCGTCCTTGATACCCTACTTTTTTAAATTAAAATATCTTAACATGATAAATAATTTGAAACATACTTTCAAAGTATTCGAGCGAATAATCAATTCAAATTTTATCTATTTATCGTAATTCTTAAAGGTATAGAACTTCCAAATTCAATTTATTTACCAAAATTGTTTAATTTTGCAAGATTAAAAAAAAATATTTCATCCTGAATGTACCTGTACGTTTTAAATTTATAGAAATCTTGAAAGCTTTAAAATGTTATTTTCACAATGATTATCTGATGATGCAATGTTTTTATTGTGCAATATCGAGAATCAAAAAATGCAAAACGTTACAAAAGTAGAGAAGCTATCATTCATCCTTACGTTTAGGTAAGGTTTTAGCCGTCACCTCGTTCAGAATCCTCGTTCTTTCAGCAAATATCTTAATTACATACTCCGTATTACTGTTCAAAAAATTGAGAATATGGACTTGGTTTTCCTCTGATTCATTTAAAAGTAAATAAGTTCTTTTAAAAGGATCTG